CAACTCTATCCCACCATTATTGATCAGATTCATCTTAAGGTTCGTGTTACTGATATATTGGGACAAGAAGTTAGAAATTGCATAGATATAAGGCGTGATGGATGTATCAACCGTGGAACTGAATGATGTTAGTTCTTCATTTTCCGCTTGCTGAACGCTTGCATCAGCCATTTCAACATCAGCGTCATCCCCACTAGTAACAGCCTTGCCTTTGCCTTTATCCAATAGGGTCTCTTCAGATTCTCGCAATAGACCTTGGTTTGCAATTACTTCTCGGCCTCTCGAATCTTTCACAAGAAGCTTGGCTCCCCATTGAGAATCCCTAGCCTTGACCTTGGCGAGATGGGCGACTCGAGCAACCATATCTAAAACGGCATTTGCTATAGCTGGTCTAAGTGAAGGGTGATGACGAGCAAGCTCATCGAACCCACTGCCCACATTAGAGGCCACACTCTCGTCAGCCGCCATCACTCGGACATGCTCGGGGCTCTCAAATATCTCGAAGTAGCTGTCGAATGCGCGAGACGCGACAACCATCTTCATGCCAACATTATTTAAAGAAATGGCATTCAAAACACCTGGTACGTTCGTGATGGGTTCGGAGTTTGGTAAAATGCCACGGGCTAAACTATCCCGAGGGGCTTCTAACTCATATAACGACGGAGGGTGCGAACGATTGTCGGGTTCAAGGAGATCAGGCGTCGAGCCATCCGCAGGCGATCCAGGGCTCTCATTCCGAGTTTCAGATGGGCCCGAGTCTGTCCCACCGGTCTGTTCTGCTTGTACTGGGCGACCTGTCAGAGCTTGTAGATAGCTCTGGATCAAGCCCGCTTCAGAGATAGCGGCGAAGCTCGTGGGATCGTTGTTAAGGAAGTCGCTTAAAATAATGACAGCGTTAGTCCATACTATAGAGCCAAACTTCGTCATGTTCTCAATGATCTCGCGCATACTGTGAAGCAGTGCAGATTTATCGACGAGGTTCCTCAGTAGTCGATCAGTATTTCCACCAAATGAAAAGGCATTAGACATGACATGGTGGATGAACTTCAGGATAAATTTTAGGTTCTGTTGCTGATAGAAAGGTATCTCATAATCAACAACCTGAGAACGATGAGTGGCGGGTGTTCCCTTGTCCTCCGTGATGAGCTTCCCTGCGAGTTCAACTTCATGAGTAACTAGATTGGTGATAGCATCAAGGCCACCGGCATGTATCAAGGTCTGGAATGAAGTCTGGACGTTGTACACCAGACTGTCTAAGAATCCTACCAAGGTGCCGTATGTGCGTTCTGCTATATTAGACCTAATGTTGAGGACCTCGACCATAATATCCAGCAATCCAGCCGAGATAATCTCGGGCGTGTTACGGTTAGTATTGTTAGCCATGGCCATTGTGATATGAAGCGTAAGAGAGAACAAGTTGTCACGCCATTCGTCTTCCTCACTATACCGCTCTCCGGAATCGTCATTCTTCATCTCGTCGACGGCCTTCCTAATAACATACAGCAATACACCGTGGTTCACAGTCGCGTTCAATGCGGAAAATATGTCGGGCAGCTTGTTATGAAACCCGGAAATGGCTTCCAGCAGTGATAACGCGATCGACTGTAAATCGATAGGTACTACCGTAGCGCCATCGGCGGCGGGGTGGATGAGTTCCGCGAGCTGGTACACAAGCTGAAACCGTCGCGGCTCATCATTATCCTGTCTGAGGACTTTCTCGATGAAGGTGGGCTCTATATGAATATACGCGAGATTTTGGATAGCCAACAAACGCGCTTTCAATGCCTGTCGTCGAGAATCGACAGAACCCGTGAGAGCCTTAGCAACCCTGAGACGGTTCAAAAATTCGTACTTGGTCTCTTTCGGAAGGTCTGCTGGAGCCCTAGCGAGAAGTTGATAGATCGATGCCGAACATACTGAGGCATGAGATATCTCCAAAGACTTCTGTCCAGGCGGAGAATTCTCATCCCGACCTACGGCTGAGGGCCGAGAGGTGGAGGATGGACTGTCCTCCGATGCTCCCTGACGACTTGTACGGGGGATAGACTGCGTTGCACCAGTTGTACTACTTCGCCTCAGAGGTGTCGGCGTTGAAGGCACATTTGATGTTGTAACTCGATCAGGTAAGGACTGCTGCGTCTGCGCCTGCGCCTGGGAACCGTCGGAAATAGGATAGTACGTGAGCTTAACGTCGCCCCAGCCATTCCAACGTGCTTGGGAACCCGAGGATTCGGTAGAATCAGCCTTCGCAAGAGCGCACAGGTCATTTGCATACATAGTAGCTACATTTTTAGGGCTTCCGCAGTGAGTCTTATCCTTATTCTTGCTGGAGGAACCCGGAGTGGAGAGCAGCGAAGGCTCCAGGGATTTAGAGAGGGGCGTCTTGACAAAGGGTTGTGCAAGTTGTAGCACACGGTCGAGATCTATATTGTAATGATTTGAGAGGAGAGATGGGTGTACTTGTCTAGCTGAAATCCCATGGATGCGTTTCACTGACGCCTGGTAGCGCTGGGCCAGTTCCACGCCGACACGCAGAGTGGCGCAGATGATGGCGAAGTCAGTACTGTTTAGAAGGTCGTTCAAGTGAGGACTGCTGCCGTAGATGCTGCGGTTTCCACAGTGATCTAAGAGCATTTGGGTGAACTGTAGGATAGCCACGATAAGGTCGACATCGCCATCCTTGCCATACCCTAACTCCGTTAACTTGTCTGGGTCGCTCGATTGTTCCTCGCCGTCGACTAAGCTAGATCTCAATAGAACTTCGCACCCAAAGTCTCTACTTTGGGGGCCCTCATTCAACTTATAGATAGAACAGAACGATTCCAGAAGCTCGTCGAAGCGATTCAGCAACGGGATCCAGTGATACAAATCGCCTCTCGGGAAAGGCCATCGCGAAGGAAATGTCGCAAGTACTTTGGGTAGGAGAGGTAAGGGTGTAGAGGTCGCATTATTAACAAACTCCTGCAACCAAGGAGACTAGAGAAAAATCAGCGGGCTGCATGGAAGAACAGAAAATATGCAAGAGTACTTACCATAGTCTCCTTGTGCTTAGCTTGCATGGTCTTCGATATCTTTCCCATAGTGAAGGCCGGGGCGGCAGAGCCGCAAATAATATGTCAGCTCCCCCTCCACTACTAAAATTTAGGTGATCGGCGACGACAATTTGACTCGCAGCACGGGAGCGTCCAAAATAGCTTGGACGGCTCCTCCAGTATGGTGTCTCGAACTACTCGTCGGTGCACAAGGCGGGGTGACGGAGTGCAGGGCCTTGTGGGGTGTGTAAGTTGCAAGGTTGAGCCTCGTCTCGAATATCAGCCTTGCGGGTATCAAAAAAAGAGATTCGGTTGCAGAAACGCTCCGATGAATTCACGACTAACTCGGGAGATGGAGAAATCGATGAAAGATAGACTCCGGGCGTCGCAGAGATGCAGGTGAAATAGTTGGGTCGCAGGTGGACGGTGCGCGGATGAGGGGCGACTGATGATGGATGATGTGAGGTGTAGAGATATGATGTCCGGCACAGTTCTCAGGAAGCTGAATTTTAGATAGGTCCAAGCGGGTGCAGGCCGCTGTACCACAGTTTTTCTAGGATCAAGAAGAACGTGTGCTAAGTCGTGTTAGCTTGGGATGAAGTAATATGATTCGCACCAAGTGCCTGGATATCTACTTGACTTGGTCGACGATGAGATGCAAGTTTGGCGGAGTCAAGTTGATAAAAAGGAAAAAATAGGACTAGCTTAAGAGGTGTTTGAAAGCTCGTGGCTGATCAGCCGCTGCCTTTTGCGTAATGATCGCACTTTGTGGGGGGTAGTGCTTGCCGTAGCAGCGGTGATTGTAGGTACCTTAGGTACCTAGGTGCCTTGTACAAGTGTAAGAGTGGGGTGGCGGCCGGCGATATGATATTATACCTTAGGTGTAACTGCCTCATACCTGAGGTCATCAGGTGCTTATACATACATACCTACATAGGTAGGTACCTATAAAATAAGCTCGAGTACGTGCATTTCAAACAAAATGCATTGACGTACTCCAGTCTCAATCTCCAAGATGTATGTATTATATCTACACGTGTTAGTACCTTACATACTGTGTTTACTGATACTCGCAGACTTGCTGACAATTGAGAAGCTTCAACTCACTAGTTAACCTACTTTGTTTTTCTTCTCTTTGTCATGGACCGCGTTCAGCGACAATTCAAACGAATATCCCCTCACGATCGATACGATCGATATGAGCCTATCAAAAAACGCATAGTCCCTACTATTGAGTAGTATTATAGAGTCTAAAACAAACCCATTGATTCATCCTCAGCAGAGTTTTTCAAAGGTCGCAGCCCAACGTCTAACAAGTCATAAGTCAATGCTACATATATTCTACTCGCATGCCAGCATGCATGTATTATACTAGGTTAATGGGGATCATTGCTGCCCAGTGCACTCGTGGAGACCTTATTGAGTCCTAGGTTAGTCGAATCGCCGGGGTAGCTTTTCTGGGTAAGGTATGTATTGCCCCATGTTACATGCAGGTTGCTTGGAAATCTTCAATTGAGATGTTGCTTTACAAGATTCCCCGGGTCCAAATCCCTAACCTAGAACATATTCCTACCCGCCAGTTTTATCAATGACCAGAATACCTCGAACCAGGTTATGAAACAATGTTAGACAATGGCTATCAATAGTCAGGGACCGGTATTGGTGTAGAGCTGCTATTATCTGCATGTAAGTAAGATGTCTACACGTTATCAGTGCCATGGTACAGCGTACAGCATCAGACTAACCCAGATCCCGCATTGTCCTCTGAGAGATTTTTTTTTTATAAATAATAATAAATAAATAAAAAAAACTGCTCCCAACCAGTGGATAATATTCCCTTAGCACGTGATCTTAAGATCGTGATTTTGAGATCGTTTGTACAACTTGGGAGTGGTCCGAGTTCGATTCTCGTGAGTCCCTTTTGTACCACTTCTTTTTTCAATATTTTTAGTTATATTCATCCCACTTCCATGAATATAAATATTATGCGAGTAATGAACTTCACCGCGGTAAAGCCAATGGTATTGATCAGACTACCTGGTTCGCTTTAGATTACATAGAGCAATGTCGGATCAGCCGAACAGCCAAACTATTGCTTCTTAAATTCTTCATACTGCTCATAGACTGACAGCTCAAACTGCGTCATCAACTCGACAATCTTCGCGTCTCCCACCGGTATCAGATTTGTGAACAACGCGCCACACAAGCCGCCTTTTCTATCAATCCACCAGATCAAATTCGGCAGGCCACCCCAAGACATAGTCCCGGCCTGCCTTCTGCCAACTTCGTCTTTAAGGCCGATCTCTCCGCCAAGTCCGTAATCCATCACCTGGTGGTCTATATCAAACGTGTTACCAAGAACTCGTCGGGACTCCTCGTCGGAACGGAGTATGTTGTTTAAGGTCTCCTTGCCCTCGGGTCCTAGCTGCGGCCGGAACATCTCCTCGACGAGTTCCTTGCTCAGGACCCGGCCGTCGTTTGCGCACAGGCTCTGTAGTATGTTCAGATAGCTCTCCGCGGATCCCCAGCCCGCTGCTCCGCCATACGCATCCTCCCTGTCACCGTATTGGTACAGGTAGCCCTCTGTTGTAGGATGTAACTTTCCGTCCTTGTCCCTGAGAGTCATTCCTACCTTGCGCGACTTCGTCTCTGGCCTCGAATCAGGAGCAAAGGTTATGTGATGCATGTTAAGCGGACCCCAGATGTTGGCCTTCATGTATTCCTCAAGGGTCAGCCCGGAAACCCTCTCAACGAGTTTACCTGCCCAGTCTAGGCTCGTGCCGTACTGCCAGCCTTTTCCAGGCTGGAAAACGAGTGGTAGAGAGAACTCGGTGACAAGGTCCTTGGGAGGGTTCGCAGGAGGGCCTGTGAATTTCTCCAGCTGTTGGAGCTTAGGGGAAAACAACCCCATGGTGAGTCCACTGGCATGGGAGAGTAGTTTTCTTTATCCAGGAGTTAGTGATTCTCATCTAGTTAAAGTAAGGTCATAACATATACTCACCTCAAAGTGACTAGCTCTTTCTTGTCTTCAAAAATGGGCTTCCCTTCCGCATCAAAATCTTTCAAAACCTTCAACGCAGCGACTTCCGGGAGCACCTTACCGACATCTTCATCTAAGCCAATATGTCCTCGTTGAACTTGCTGTAAAGCTGCTACGGTTGTCATGAGTTTCGTACAGGATGCCATCCACACAACACTATCTGTCTTGAATGGCTCCCCGTGAGCCGTCTTGCCAAATGATTTCTCATACTTAAACTTCCCCGTGGCATCAGCGGCCACAAGGGCCACACCCGGGATTTCGCCGGCTTGGTAGGCGGCCTCGAAGACAGCCTCGTGAGAGAACTTAGCCATTTGATGATCGATGTGGAGCGAGGGGCTTTATAAGTAGAGCGTATATATTAAGCTATCCTTGTGAGTTGCTGAGAGTAGTCGTGATTGATCAGTAGGTTGCATTTTGGTTTCTATCGCAGCCCTTTATATATAGAAAAGCCAGTGTATCTATCCAGTCACTCTATTATCACCGGGGAGTCACGGCGGTTAGGCGTGGATCCTTCAGCTATGAGGTTAAAGGATGTGGTTACGGCCCCTTGTTCAAACCATCCGCTTACCTGATTGGCAGATATATCCCCTGTCATAGACATGGTGCAGAAAGATTCATGCGGACTTGCCTAATCCAGCACTTTATGGCCATCCCGCAACGCAGATTTCTGCAAATCTTGAGCACCGTATCAGATCGTTAGAGGTTGTTACTGATTAAGAAGCAAGTGACACCGTGATATCTCCAAAGTACGACTATGCTGCGACAGCACGTGCATGCTCGGCGACGATTCATCTGGAGTAGAATTATAGTTCCGATGCCCGGTAGGATTAGTGATGAACGGGCGAACTGGATACCGCGTCTATACTCGAATAGTATAATGGTGCAACGTCAAAATCGGCCAGCTTTGATGTCCATGGACTCCCGGAAATAACTCACTTCTTAGCCCCTATATCCGGCTTTGGATACAAGTAGCGATAGACATGGTTTTCTATTTAACTAAGCAGAAAGTCTTTTTGTTCAAGAATTTCTGTTAGTTTAGACACAGATATAATCCAGCCTAGCACTCCAGTATATAATAAATATATTGTTTAAGCTAAATCCAGTAACTCCCTGCTATATCGACGTTTCCCCAACGCTTACACGCGCTATTTGGATTGGCCTAACTCATTGCTGAGCTAATGTTATACAATATCCGAGGAAAGCAACTACATTGTCATCTGAAGAATAACAGAATATAGGACGGCTGGCGCATATTCACCAACTCCTTTGTTCCAGGGGTCTCGGTACCTACTCACGGAGAGAGCTTCCTAGCACTATGGAATGCCCTTCCTGCTCGTCCTCTGGCCTAGTGGCCTAGCCTACGGTTATTTCGAGAGTCCGGTGGAAGCTTAGATAGTGGACTGCCTTATCCTAGCATGTCTTCTATACAGGATTACCTGTATCTCTATGCACATATTCTTTAAAGGTATTGTGCTAGATTTCTACTAAGGGCTACTGTAGAGCTCTACCCAGAGGTCCGTAGTTTTCGAGTTGTGTTGTTCTTTATGTTATAATAATAAGTAGACTAACCTAGGCACGTCAGTTCAATTGGGATATATGGGCACTTTCAATTAGATGCCGGGTTGGTCCCTGTTAAGAGAAGCTAGCCCGGTCGATGAGAAAACTACGTTCAATAAAGCTCAACCATTCGCATGTTACAACATTTGGCCTAGTAGTCAAACAAACACCCACATGAGACAGCGTTAATACTATGTATATAGATAATAAATACCTATATATAAATAGTTCTAGTTAAGCATCAATGACCTAGCTTCACTATACACAACATCATATCACTTGTAATTGATAACACGATTACCGTTTACCTTAACTACCAATTATTTAAACTAGATAAACTTATAATGATAACACAATAATATACACATCATTCTAGCAAAATTTAGCCTATGCCAACATTAATGTTTACTTGTTGAAAGCAACTTTCTTAACAATTTCCTGAATCACTCCTACGAGTTTATTCTTATAATGCCCTTCAATTTGAAGGTGAAATTGGTCCACCTATTTACCTCTTAACTTAGCAATTGAGGAGTATTTTACCGGGTAAGTCTAAATGTCATACAACTTTGTACCTAGAAGTAAGCGATCTCTGCGGTTATTTATCGACGTGAATGCTTTTCAAAATTACCGACGAAGATAAAAGTAGATGCCTGATTAGCCCGGTTCTAATATGTAATTCTCCTTGTTGTTTGTGTAGTACAAATAGTGACATATCAAATATAATACAAGGGCAATATTATATGAGAGGTTGCGCTTATTTACCTAGATTGAAGACCACTTACGCAAACAATAATATCTTACAGGACAAATGCATGTGTACCCGGTTGGGGTTAGCGGCGATGCCGAGTACCTTACCTCGGATCTATTGAGGTGTCAAGGTTGTTTGGAAGCTGCCGAAGGAAGGTAAACTACATGCATGCAAGTCATATAAAAATCTAAAACAATCCAGAACGCCACATAAAGAAACATTGCTGACTGCATGTAATTGTTTCTAACGAAACCTAGTTGTTGGACGAGCTAATGAATCATGGCTTGAAGAGTGTAAGTGGACAGAGGCACGTAATATGAAATTCTATATGCAGTGTTATCCTGATTTTTGATAAGTCTTAAAATCTGCAATACTTTATGATGCTATAATCTCCTTGTAAGACAACGGTACCAGTCTCCCTCGTTTGCTTTCCAGAATATTACACGCAATTTAATAAACGATCAGCCATGCATGAAACGCCATCGTACATAACGGCCCATTACTCGATGCATGTGGAAAGGAGTCGGCATGCGGCGTTTACGTATGTAGAGATCCTGTTGGTGTTGAGAGCTTCCCGATAACGTAACTACTTGAGATACGGATTACTCCATACCTATGTGCTGATAACGTGAATAAACGTGGCGGCTGTTCGAGGCGTTGGCGCTAAGTGGTTCTTTAAGCTTAATTTAGAAACGCTGATACTTGGGTGTACATACGTTGCATCAATCTTGAATGGACCATCTAATGAAAAGACCCAACCTTTATATGAGAAGCATAATATATTTTATGCTCATAGTGCCGGTGATGTCATAGTACCAATTTACGACATAAGGGTAGATGATGTAAGTGTTGAGTTAAAATTATATGTAAATTATGATCATAAATGTTCAATTTCGGCTTGCAGCTTGGTGACATCTTGTCCTGCCAGACTCGACGCACACTGCGTTTATTAGGTGTTACCTACAAATGTAACTGACGGGAGTACGCGGATTATACATATGTACCTACAATACATTGGTATGTACTACATACGTAGGTACGCAGGTGGCGCTATGGATTTATGTGCAAGGACTAAAATATGGACGCCCTAAGGGAACCCCTGAACTAACCCATAATAGTGGGCACCAGGGCTGTTAGTTAACGCTTCTAGCGGCAAACTACGCGACATGCCACTGGCTACAGTTCATCCATAGCCCATTCATAGCCCATTCATAGCACTAAAGGGCGGGAAGCTTGGCGCTGAAACGACGGGCTGGTATAGGGCCGTGCGTCGCAATTGGATTTTCGAGATCCATTCCTACAAGGTAGAACTCCACAGATCAATCCTAGTCACGTTTAGTCAGTTCGTACGAAGGGGGAAGGGGAAACAATTACAAACGAACGGTGAATCTAAAGTGCATCTTTTCGAATTTCACCTTCTTTCATTTATCCCGTGTCCCATGCACTTCTTCTTACGGTCTGTGATCATTGTTTAGTACCAAGTAATAATTCCTTTCGACCAAGAATAAGACGTCCCTCCAAGTTGATCGCGCCGCGTTTACATTGTCCTGTTTGTCTGGTTACCTCCTGAAAGATACATACCTACGTCTATCTGCATTGTTGCCGAGACCCTGCCCACATAGACTCGATAGATGCTAAACTACCTCACGACAACCTCCTTTCCAACCTAAACTGGACATACTCGATACACCCTCTACGTAGAACAACTACTGGTAGCTATCATGTCTGGCCCAGAGGAGCCGCATACGTCTGAAGCTGCTCCCCGGGACACTGGGTCGCCTACCCCTTCGGACAAGGACACGGTACGTCGATTATCTTATCTTCACATGCGTGGCCCCTTTGTTTAAGCGTGAAGCGTGGCTAGCTTTAGTTACATTCCAGCATGTCATAAAACTTAGGAATGCTAATTAGCAATTATGTAAAGGACACTTTCGAAGATGCTATTGACACAGGATCCGTGAGGTCTCTAACAAATCGCAAACTTTCACCTCGACCAACCAGCGGTGCTACAGATAGTATTCCAGAGTCACCAGAGAACGAAGAGGGCGAAGAGAGCGAGGTCAAGCTGAATGGAGACGCAGTAGAAGAGAAAGACGAGGAAAAAGAAGAAGAAAAGAAGGAAGAGGAAAAGGAAAAGGAAAAGGGAAATGAGGACGTAAAGGATAACGTAAAGGAGAGCCTCAAAGATATTGATCTTGATGACGAGAAGGACGAAAAAGACGAGAAAGACGACGAGGTTGCCAAATCTTCACCTACAACCAGATCCGCACGCAACTCGAATGCATCCTTAGACAATGTTGACCTTAGCGATGGTGTTGCAGAACAACCAAAGGGTTTGTTAACAATCCTATTGTAATATCCATTGTAATTCACAAGTGCACTGGCTAATATATAAATCTAGAGGAACCAGCTATTGTAGCAGCAAAACAGCCATCCAAAAAACTTTCTCTCGGCAATATTGGAATAACAATGCCTTGGTCTCCATCTCCTCCCGCTACAGAATCACCGCCAAAAACAAGCCCAAATCCTATTACCACACCAGCTGCAGCTCCTGCACCCGCAACTCGAAAAATCACAGGACCATTTTCTTGGTTATCACGCAGTTCTACACATAGGGAGAAGGACGCAGTCACGTCACCGCCCGTTACAACGGCTGCATCACGAAGAAACACAGCAAGCTCGGTCGCTACGTTAACTAGTAATCCCGAAATGATGCTTAGCAAGCTCGACGAGGAACATGAAGGCGGTGGAGGACCTCGCCTGTCGAGAAATAGTTTGAAAGACAGGTTTAAATATGTACGAATGCGGGAAGAGGCTGGTATTTCCCTCAACCCTGATGATGATGACAAGGGGTCGACCTTGGGAGTTCTAAGCCCTACTGGTGAGAGCTATCCGGATGTGAACTTCACCTTGCCTCCGCCATCCCCCTTACCGCCAAACCCGGACACAAACCTAGCCCCTGGAACGGTCTCGGGCGTGTCTGCTGGCCCTTCTACCATTGCAGATGCTCAGGTTGATTGGGACCTTTGGCAATCTGTTGTTTATGAAGGCCCAGCTGCCGTCGCGAGAACAAACCCAGAGGAGCTCAACAAGGCGATTGTTACGGGTATCCCTAATGTGATCCGAGGGGTAGTATGGCAAGTGCTTGCCCAGAGTAAGAGCGAGGACCTTGAAAGGGTATACAGAGAGTTACTGGCGCGAGGCTCTGAAAAGAATAAGGACCGTAACAGCAACGCTACCTCTGTCAGTATTTCGAGCAACGGCAACCTGAGCTCCGAAAGAGAAGCGGTAGCCTCTTCGGCGTCTTCTATCCAATCAGAAGGATCTGGCGCCAGTGGTAAGAAGGTGTCACCGCCATCTTCTGAGCCGTCGGAAGCAGCTCTAAAGGCCCAAGCCTTAGCTGCCGCCGAGAGGAAACGCAAAGAAAAGGAAGACGCAGCATCGCTTCAAAGACTAGAGAGAGCCATCAAAAGGGATATCGGCGCCCGAACAAGTTTCTCCAAGTATGCGGCAGCTGCTGGTCTGCAAGACGGCCTATTTGGTGTCTGCAAGGCCTATGCGCTCTTCGACGAAGCTGTTGGCTATGCTCAAGGAATGAACTTCTTGATTATGCCCCTCCTTTTTAACATGTCTGAGGACGAGGCGTTTGGTATACTTGTCCGGTTGATGAACCAATACAAGCTACGCGACCTATTTATTCAGGACATGCCAGGTTTGCATATGCATCTATATCAGTTCGAGAGGTTACTTGAGGATTTTGAGCCCGCTCTTTATTGCCATTTGCACCGTCGTGGGATATCGCCCCATTTGTACGCGACGCAATGGTTCCTCACTCTTTTTGCCTACAGGTTCCCTCTGCAGCTCGTGCTAAGAATCTATGATCTCATCTTCTCCGAAGGCCTGTCTGCAATTCTGAAGTTCGGCATTGTCCTCATGCAAAAGAATTCATCGGCGCTGCTCAAAATGACAGACATGGGTCAATTGACGAATTTCCTAAGGGACAAGCTTTTTGATGTGTATATTGATCAATCTCCGAGTGCTGGCAGCATCCTCGAGAATGGCTTTTTCGGTAGCAGTTCTTCAAGTGCCGACAAGGAAGTCTATCGGGCAGATCAATTAGTTCAGGACGCATGTGAGGTGAAGATTACACCTGAGATGCTCAAGGCTTACACGACCGAGTGGGAAGAAAAGACTAAAGCTGAAAAGGAGAAGGAGAAGGAACTTGAACATCTGAAGACTACGAACTTGAGCCAGGCCATCAAGATCCGGAAGCTCGAAGAGCGACTGGAGGCGAGCGATCGTGAGCAGGCAACCGTGACAACGGACCTAGTTCATACCAAGATCGAAAACGAAGAGCTCAAAGATCAGAACGAAAGCTTGACCGGCCAAGTCAAGGAACTTCGCCACGTCATTGAGCAGCAACCTGCGGAGTTAGAAGGAGCCTGGAAGCTCGAACGTGATGACCTAATGAAGAGAAACGAGAAGGTGCACGAAGAGAATAGAAGACTCGAAAAGGAGCTCCAAGAGCTTGAAGAGGAATTAGTTCAGACTAAGATGCGATACGCAGAGGTATGCAATCTCTTATTTCCATTTGATACCTGGACGGTTTTAACTAATCATTTGTAACAGATCAACTCCCAACACGAAACCCTGCAAAAGAGGTGGGCCGAACTCAAGCGGCAATTTGCTTGAGCTGGTCCTCTCTCCCTTGATCATGCTCCTGCTAATGACCTCCCGGTTCACCCACATTCTCATTCTTGTACAAAGTAGCTTCTACGGTTTGTTGTAGTCAGGCAATCCGCCAGGAGGAAAGGGGAGCATGGGCAAGCAAGCACATAGTTTGAGGCTATATTCGTACCTTGCCACGGCCATGTCTGGGTATCTACGAAGTCAGGTTTTATCATTTTGTCAAGCGTGTCCCTTTCTATCGGGTAAAAAGCCGCTATTAGCATAGGCGTCTAGGCTAAACTGAACCAGTCAGCCACCAGGCGACGAATTTTTCTTCCTCTTCTTGACCCTTTCTTCGTCTTGTCATCATCCATCCATCCATTGGTGGCCATCATCTTCGGTAATTGGGAGGGGTCTTTTCCTACCACGTCGCAGGGGGGGTAGGTACCTAACCTAGGCATATAACGCATTAGAGAGGAACAACGAGATAGCCCTGAGGGGGGGAGTACTACATCACTTCGCATCATATCATATCTGTCGTATCACTTCGTCGGTGGATTAGGGGGCGACGGCATTGCATTTGCATGCTTGCGTGCACGTAACGTGGGGAGGGGGGTAGCTTACTGGGGAGAGCGAAAGAAGAAACACGCTTTCGGACAGGCGGATAGCCTGAGGTCCTGTGGAAGAACAGAACAGAGCAGAATAGAAAAGACGAGATGAGATGAGATGAGAAGGGGAACAGGAGGAGTATTGTATAGAATCAGAGCTAGGAAGTAGTTCGATAAATACCACATTCTGTCGTAATGACCATTCAGTTGCTATTATTGGTGTTGTTGCTAATATGTTATATGTGTATCCTGAGTTTAACTAAGTAGATGAGTTCTAGGCATTGTAGACGGGGACATGAGGAGCTATGGATATCTGTTGGCCATTATGTGCAAGATATCTGAGCACAAGACTACCTACTAGGTTACAATGTTAATGTCACAGTATGATATCATGACCTAAGAGGTTAGCATCATGATATTCTGAATACCTAGCTAGTTAACTTAAATCAACCCTCTTTAGAAACGAAGTTCAAATCACATACTAAAAACTAGCACATGTAGCAGAGAGATGACAGATCTCAACCAAGACGATTACGATTATTATCAAGGCAAGGCAAGATCACACAGTAACAGTAAAGAGTATAGCATTTCACATAATGGTGACTATCGTGGCAATTGACACTGCAGGCCTCTCTGGTGATCTTTTATTGATCAGAACCTAGCAAACGCGATCCCTTTCCGTTGCCGAAGATGAATAGAATCCATGAACACCGGTGCCATCGTGCGTAGTATTTTGCAGTGCCCTCATAACCTGACCCTCCGTCATTCTTCATCCGCTCGCCATCTACTTGTGTAGCTTACGCTGGTAGAAAGCCAGCTCCTCGCCCTCGAGGATGTATCCGTCCGCACGACCGCTCTGGCCGGGTCGGCTGGCAATGACGGCGTATAGACGACCAGCCTCGAATTGCTTCTCTAGGACACCCTCAACCTTGCCGCTGGCGGCGTATCGGGAAGCCTGTTTGCGCTCGACGGCCTTGCTCTTCTTCACAACTTCCTCCTCCTTGCCAGACTTCTGCTGACGTCTGCGGCCGAGGGATTGGCCGTAGTGGCTCTCGTACCATTGACGGAAGGGAGCGGCATCGATCTGGACAACGGCGGACTTGGTAAGGGTGTTGGTTCGGACCAGCTCGTTGTTGGAAGGGTGGTAGGCGACGACGATGACACGGGTCTTGCGGGTGACACCCTCGGAAGCCCAGGCAAAGTTACCAGTATCGAGACGTAGGGCACGGTACTTGTGGTTACCGCCGCGAGTGCGGACGGTGTGGATTCGCTTGGGGCCGATACGGGTGTTGGCCTCCTGTCGGCCAGCCTCGAAAGCGCGCTTCTTCCCTGGTGAGGAGGTCAGAACGTATGATCATTGTACAAAAACATGATGCATACGGGCTTTCGATATATGGGGCGTATCTCGAAAACACGGTTATGCGATGGTCTACTACGTACGGTAAAAGGCGCGCTTGGCACCGGTGGCGGAGCGCTTGTGGCGAGAATCACGAGAGATACCCATGATTGCAGTTTCTAGTCAGAGAATTGTGTGGTTAGTCTTGGAGGGTGTTGAAAGGTGTTGAAGGGTGTTAAAGGTTGGTTGATGAGAATTTTGGCAACGACCAGTGAGAAATCTTGCAGAAGCAAATTCAACAGAGGTAAGATTGTCAAATGATTTGCAAGATCAAGCCACTGATCATATTAGCAATGGAAGACATACCTGACTAAAGCAGTTGGCAACCAAGAAGGGGAATTGAGGGTGGTGATGAAGCGCTCGGAGTTTGAATTTCGCGGGAATGAAAAGTTGAAGGAGGCTCACGAAATTCAGTCAAAGTAAATTTGGAAAGTTTAGTGTGGGCTCGCCAAAATTTCGGAGGGGAGGTACTTTGATACCTAGGGCTATTTTCATTTGGCCCGTGCACATCTTATGTAGGTAGTCACATTTAATCCGTACTTAGGTAATCCTATATAAATTGGACGTGGTCAATGCGTACCTACCTATGTATTAAGGGGAAGCTGCAAGTGCAGGGCAACATGCAGACCCAATTATTCACGTGCATGTCAAGACGTCCAACATCCTCGTGTAAGTGAAATTTATTCATCGATTGGTCCATTCTGTCTGTTCTGTCTGTTCTGTCTGAAATGCTAAGAAATGTCAAGGTAATCCCTTAACCTCAAGCAGGTAGCAAAAGCTTATCCTGCAAAATACATAATGTACAAGATCCAGTACCTAATTCATAAAAGTCATAAGACTCATCATCTCTGCGTCTGCTCCATGTGTCGATAGAATCTCATATGCATCGTAAGATGCTGCCCTATTCCGCTTTCCCCGCATAAGATCACCATCCGGAACATTTCAGATCGCAGGCTCTTCCTCATCGATATCTTGAAGGAGCTGCTGCATGAAGCCAGTAAGCTCCTCGATCTCGATTTTGGGGGGTTTCATGTCTCCCTCCCAGACTATGTCCCAATACTCTGGTCGAGTCATGCCATCGAGGGTAGGCTCAAGCGCCCGGTTAGCAATTCTGCGAAACTGGCGGGGGACCAGAGGGCCGAAGGCAGGGAAGAGCTTGTATCGGTCGACCATGTCCTCAAATTGGTAGTCAACCTCCTGAGTACGAGGCAGAGGCAGCTGTCCCTGATAATACTCATATTCCCATTGAAGTGGCCAGTCGACAGGCACGAACAGGTTGGTATTCTCATGCCAGATAGAAACGCGCGATGTGACCAGGCTAAGATTGTCCGTGTTGTGAATCTTAAGCAACTTCGGAGACATTCGAACACGGGGAGCACAGGCTTGGCTATGTTTATGGCCAACGGAGTTGCTGGGATCTTCCATCATCTTGATGATCGCAAGCTGTTTAGCTTTCACGGTGTCATTCTTGAACTTGAGATATTCGTCAAATGTTGAAGGCACAAACGGCGATTCGATGCGCTCATGACGCCAGTAAGCTTGGATCTTGTCCCATCGCTGTCGCTCAATGTCTAGTAGGCTTTTGGATGCCTTTGACGAAGACTCGCCGGCTTGTCCATCGGCCGGATGAGAGTGCGGAAGACTTCTGCTATCAGCAGGAAGAGCAGACGCGAAGTCTTTGGGATTGTAGCAATTGTATGCACCTCCAGCCCATTTACCAGGACCACTGAATACCGGACCAAACTCGTGAGGGCAGATGCAGCCTTCATCGTGGAAGAAGCGGTGATAATAGTACATTGCGTAGTCAATTGGGCTTCCATCCCATTCAGCTACTCTCTAGTTGCCGGTCGCGTTAGTTATTAACTAAATATAACAAGTGTTTATGACTACTAACCTGTACACCCTGCTTCTCAAGCTCTGCCTTATGCTTGTAATAAAGAGCGATGTCTGCCTTGGCGACGTTGCGGCTTGCATTATCAAAGATGACGCGTCCAACCTCTCCGAGGTATCCCTTGGTGATAGGCGACGGGATATCCGGGTTGACCTTTTTAGACCCGGAAGAGGCGATGGTCATCGGCGAGCTCGAGTATTGAGACATTGTGTAGATCTTAATGCAAGTTCTTAATGGATACTAGGAAAGGAATGATGGAAAGCGTGGTATTTGTCGGCGAAAATGACAATACGAAATAAATATGACAAGGTGTTGGGAGAAAAGAATAGTAACGAGGTAAGCAGGACGGCAACAAGGTGAGTTGTGTTAAGAAGTCGTCTTAAGACCTCAGTCAAAAGTTAACAGGTGTGGGGACCACAATGTCGTTACTGTAGCCTGCAGAGGGGTTAACGGCCTCATCTCCCTAACAACCACTGACAAACTTCCAGTACCTCCTAGTAACACCTCACTATGGCACCCACAGGCACCTGTTGAGAGCAGTTATCCAGCTATGACAAGGTTGTTGCATGACAATGGTGAGCACGCAATTGGGTTTTGTTGTATCTACTGAAGAAACAGCACTGACGCCTAATAATTTATTCCGCTGCCATCTGTTTACACAACACATACCCATATCCTAGAAAAGAGATATGCATGCAAATACACAACATTCACATCCTATTATAACCACCACGTCACCTGTTTGCCTAAGTAATAGATATATCTCTCTGTCTCTGTACATATCTACCTACCTAGGTAGTTATCTAATCGCGCCATATTTAAACTAGGGAAACAATGTCATGTCCAATCACTAAAGAGAGATAGCAGCTATCTATAAACAAAGATAATATGTTTAATCTGTCATGAGCAGGTGTCTTCCAGTCTGCTGCACAGTGAACGTAGAAGATCCTTTCACAATCATACCGAGACAACACACATATCTCGTACAGTCACTGCGAGAGAAGACAAACTATACTAAGTAAAAGGATTAAGAAAGCCTACTGTTCAAAGATCTGCCCCAGAGCTACGCTTCAAAAGTGATGATGGCGCTATCATATTATGATGTCCACCGGGAATTGGGATAAAAACAAATAATTCCTTATTGGATATATATGCATCAATAGTCTTGTGGCATTCAACATCTAACTCTTTATGAAATAACTCGGCATCTAATTATTTTCCTACTCCCCACTTACATCATTGTACTTGCACAAAGCTAGAGACCCGGCTACTTGAAATTTCTGAGAGGGACTAGTGGCATTTGGAGCCTCTTTCTATGGTTGTATTTCCATATATTATCAAAAAAGAAAAAATAAGAAAAAAAATAAGTGGTCAGGCTATTCCACCTCATAGTGAGGCAGATTAAGCGGAGAACCCTTAAGACCTGATTTAAGCAGTTAAGTAGGTCTATATATTAACAACCAACGAACGAAGGGAGATAGGGGTTATAAAGAGCGCCAATACCCTTATACTAACGAGACAATAACATGCGTATTAGAGGTTCAAATTCAGGGGTAGACTGCCTGCCTGCTTAAGCTATAGGATTCTGTTGATCATCTCTCTATTTGTTGTTTGAATTCTAAGCGCACATACTTCTTGTATTAGCTACCGAGGCCTATATGAAAATTTAAATGCATATATCAAAGAAGTAAAGCAGAACGTAATATCTCCTGGTCTAATGCCCTACGATGGTTGTTGTGGTTGAAGCTTAATAGCTGCATATCACGAGATATTCATTTATACATTATAATATCTTCGGCACATGCGCTACCGATCTTGGAGCATTAATCCCTGCATGTGTTACATAATGCCCGATCTGCCGGCTGCCAGCAGGCACGCATTCGGTTAGGTACATGTAGTACATGCATGTAGGTACCTAGGTACCCTTCCTTGTACATTATCATCTGAGCTCATATGGAAGCTTAGCTTATGACCGATAAGATAGGGCTGCCTGCTGTATCCGGTAACGGTAAGCACGTCACTTCGAATCTCCCATTCCTAATTCTCCCAATACAGGAGATGGGAAGTTTCATCTTCAAGTCATTCCTTTAAAATAAATAAATCATCTTACAGAGCCATCTAGGTTAGGCCTTCATCATCTAGGGCTCACTGGCAGTTGGTTGGACTGCCTCCCCCTTGCCGTGAACATGGCGACGCCATCGACATCGACTTTGGATCAGTCGCCTCTCCTACGATCGCGTTCATCCTCGACGTTAGGATCGCTTAGCTCGAACACCTCCATCAGCGATGCCTCCCGAAATCTGAAGCTCCGGCATAAGACGCGTGCCCTACGCGCTGTCGCCTTCGTCGTATCTATCGTCACAGCCCTCTGCGCCGGATCCATCACTGTCTTCTCGCTCTACGGACACCTCTTCCAGTCGCGGCTACATTACACCCAATTCCAAATCAACGGCATCGCTAGTGCCATGAGCCTCTCCATGTACCTCCCGGTCCCCGTGATAGGATTCTTGTGCGACCGAGTAGGGCCTGGCCCGCTCTCTCTGTTAGCCTCGATCCTACTAGGGGGTGGCTACGGATTGGCAGCTGGTTTATATCACAAGGGTCTTGGAGAAGTTGAGGATGGAGGGAAGGGCGTGAAAACTACATTCCCTCCTATGCTGTTTGCCTTCGTGGCTATTGGTATAGGCACGTCGTGTATGTACCTGGGCGCCATTACTACATGTGCCAAGAACTTCGGCCAGGGTAAATATCGAGGCTTGATGCTGGTTGCTCCTATCGCGTCATTTGGTCTTGGTGGAATGGTCCTTAGTCAGATCGGGAGTCGGATTCTCTACGAGACACAGCCGGATGGAGCTAGAGACGTGAACGTATTTCATTTCTTCCTGTTTCTCTGCGTCGTTCTCGCAGTCCTTGGACTCGTCGGTACCTTTTCGTTACGGATTGTAGATGAGGAGGACCTCATCGATGGAGCGGTAGAAGAACTAGAGAGGAGCGGGCTCCTCGAGGGAAGCGAGGTCTTCCGCCGCCGAGCGCACCGGGACTACGGTGCTATTGATACCATCGATGACGATGCTGGAGCCATAGACCCGGCTAGGGACGAGGAAGACGAAGATGATAACGCTAGGTTGAAAAAGGCCTGGCTTCTCAATGCTGAGACTAGGAGATTTTTGTCGGATCATACAATGCGGTGGTTCGGTATCGGCTTTTGGCTCATCATTGGACCAGGCGAAGCGTTTATCAACAATCTCGGCACCGTAGTTGGAACTTTATATTCTCCGAGCACAAGGTCAAACGAAACGTCGGTGGCGACACATGTTTCTATCATGGCTGCGGTGAGCACGGTTGCTCGTTTGCTCGCAGCATCGCTGAGCGATTTGTTATCGCCAAGTCCTCATAGCCAGCACGTTCAGACGGGATTTCCAACCTCCCTTCCAGAGCTCAGACAAAAGATATCAGTCTCACGCATAGTTATATTCATTGCTGCTGCTATTATCTTATCCGTCGGAACGCTAGTACTGGCTTCCGGTGCAGTTCAGGAGCACGGGGAACGTTTTTGGATTGTATCCGGTGCGATTGGAGCAGGATATGGCGCAGTATTCAGCTTGACACCGATCATCGTGACGATGATCTGGGGCGTTGAGAACTTCGGCACCAATTTTGGCATCCTCGCACTCACGCCCGCTCTGGGTTCCACGATGTGGGGTCTTATTTACTCCGCGGAATACCAGGCCGGTGCTCGAGATTCACCTTCGCTGGCTGAAGGAGCTGATAAAGATGTATTCTGTTATGGCACAAAGTGTTATTCGTCCACGTTTTGGGCCATGACGATCTCCGTGTGGATCGGGGCGGTCATGATTTTCTGGGCTTGGAAAGGCCGAAATGGTTGGTCTAAGAGGGGAATTGTGATTTAGAGGCATAGACCTACATACCAACCTAACCTATACAGCACACATGTGCGAATAAGGAATGTATTTACACATATCACTTTTAACTGGGAGCGATTTAAGTTTTGGGACAGGTTTTTTCATTTGTACATACTGGGTCTCGATCTTCTGTGTTGGAGTTATTGGTTGGGTCCTGTTAGGAACATTGAAGGTTAGAAGGACTATCATTCAAGGATAGAATCAACCAAGGTCAGATTGTGTTTTTGATTTATTATCGTCTGAGCTCACGCTTGGAAGAGGGTTATCTGGGAGTTGGGCCTTCGCAATGTTAATTAGCGTTGTCCAGTCGTAGATACGCCATGTAAGATCTGAATGTGTATCTATCCTACCGTATGACCGCCTTCGCCTAGTGACTCTTGATGGCTTCTCTAGTAGCCATATAGATGCTAACTACAGGACCGGAAGCAGAAGCTTTAAGTCTTCTATTTTGTTTTTTTTTTTTACCCCTGTGTGGAAATACGAGAAACCTAGGTAGTATCTACTAACTAACTCTTAAGTATTAAGATCACTTTCATATGGATTCTGCCATGTCTTACTTTGCTACTTAGACATTCAAGATTTGAAGGAGTACCTAATAGAAATTGTCTTTCTTTAGGTCACCGCTCTTGATTCATGTTAGTCATACATATGCCTCCCCTTGGCCTCGGATTCTAACCCGGATGTGCAACCTTCCTCATTCGAACTCAAGTCTCCAAATATATGAGCTAGAGAATGAGACTGCTGTTTCCTGTGACCTATTGTTGAAGCTGGGATGAGGCCGATTCGTGCGGGTGTTAGTTCGGCATACTATTCAGCTCTAATACATATGTACAATTTTACGCTAATAATAGACCGCCAGTTGGCGGGAGAATCAAGTCCAACTTCTTCTAGAAAAAGGCAGGGGGTAAAAGTGCATTTTAGCTCGTATGGCCAACGCATCGAATGGCTTCTAATAATCTTAGAGGCGCAACCGAATAATACGGCAATCGACATATTGATGCAATATTCTGCAATATTCCCGAAGCTACCTAACCATCAATGTTACCATTAAGCCGCATGTTGACCCTACAAAGAGACATTTGACAAGGGTTCGATTAGGCTTCTAGAATAAAGAATAGTAGTTAATTAAGTCTGAAAAATACTCGGACTATGTTCGATTAGGCTATTGCTCCGAAGCTATAGCGGCTAAAATTTAATGCTGGTCCCGTATTTCTAGATTAGTTATATAATAACAAAGAATACACATATACGAGCTGACTTGAAACAAGGTAGTTTAAGACATTAAGTATTAAAAATAGGGAATTCTTGGCCCTGATTCTGGTTTCAGTTGATTCCCCCAGCATACATACATACATAGCATTTCGTAGAGCTGAACTCGCCAACGGCTTTTACTGACAAGACTTGTCTGTTTACAGCATGATTCAAAAGGCAACAGCTAAAGTTTAAGACTTGAAGTTGAATTGAGAAGTAATTAGGCCAACTTTGTCTTTGAATAGGCTATTGCTGTGGAGTTGTATAGTTGTCGATGCCGGGCCTATCCTGCCTAAGCACTAACTAGGGAAAACAAACGAGAGTGTGAGATGGGAGGATTGAACATAGGTGCCATCCAGCCATCTTGAAGTTGTTGACATCAGCATAATGCCTTCATTGTGGAGGTGGCAACAGACACAGTCGTTGAATCCGAGTAAGAACTGTAAGAGTGGCTGTTAATCAGGCCCGATTCGGTTCGTAACTTTGGAACACGAAGAGTGAAATGTGTAACCTCTTACCTTACAGCCCGGATAATATTCAACTGCGGCTACATATTACTACGTGACACGATGTCACGATGTCACGATGTTCCCTCTTCACGCAGATATTGCATAGACGAGCAGTTACACACGTAACTAGCAGACCACCGTCCCAACATCAAAGCACAGCACAGCACGGCACAGAAGCAGTCAGCAGGCTAATGAATAGCCTAATCCCGATCGAAAAGGATCAGTCAACGGATCGGAGCACGCGGCTCTGGCCCTGTATCACCCACGTAACCGTCTGTGCAAGGGCGCGGGGCGGCACGCCCCTGTTGGAATACGAGCTTGGCGCCGCTGATCTTTCCCCGTCTGCCGCCTGCCGGCTTCTGACGCGATCACAGATCTCAGAACACGGTCGATCCTCCACAGTTGGCGTTGTTCCCAAGCATGGGTCTTATTCTGCGGGCTACATGCAACGTACCTACATACATACATGCCTCATACATACATTACTACCTAACCTACCTACCTACTGCGCCGGGTCGAATGGAACCCGAAATTTCGACCGCCGGCCAGACGCTACATACACATCGAATTAGTCGTGAATCATGCACTACCCGTCCCCTCCCAATGCTCCATAATCTCGGGATACGAGGCCGGGGAGGTACCTGACTGGATCTGCGCGATGGCACCCGTCAGGCATGTAGGGAGCTAGGTACTCCGATTTGTAAGTCGTGCCGGGTCCAGGTGCTGCAGAGCGTGAATGGATGCAACGGGCTTCCGGATGGGTACCGGTAGAAACATATAACGTGAGCAGCCGGGGGGACCCTACCCTTCAACAAGCCGGGAATAGTCTCAAGCTACTTGCCTACCTACCTACCTCTATTACACTACCCTACTGCAAGCCTCAGCATCGACCGATCAGGGATATACATACCTACATACCGACATATCGTATTCGATCGAGTATATATAAGACCTCAAGATCGCCCAAGACAACGATCTTATTTATCCTCACCACCACTCTACTTAATAATTCCTTAGTGTAAGCAGTCGACTTTATAATAAGCCCTCTCTCTACCTAATACTTAGTAAATAATAATATACACACCTCCCTTCACCAACCAACCTTAACCACCACCGCCTCAAAATGCAGATCTCCGCCCTCCTCTCCATCGTCGCCTTCTCGGCCGCCGCCCTCGCCCAGCCGCTCTCCATGGCCGCCAACGCCGCCCAGTGGACCATCACCGGGCTCTCGCGCGCCGTCGACGCCGCCGACACCTCCAGCGACTGGACCTTCGGCATCGACAACGGCGCCGGCGTCACCGCCGTCAAGTACACCGTCAAGTCCGCCGGCGGCGCCCCCGCCACCCGGTCCAACGGCGGGCCCGTCACCGTTGGCGACTTCACCATCACCAGCGGCTGGAGCGGCCAGTTCGGCGACGACAAGGGCTTTACTACCTTCTCCGTCGTCGACAACGCCAAGCGCCAGATCGTCTATCCTTCCGTAAGTAACCTTCGTGTCATATAAAATATGCACATATATATATATACATCGGGATTGCTTGCTTGCTAACATGATGCTATATATAGTACACCGACGCCCAGCTCAAGAGCGGCCAGGTCGTCACGCCTGACCAGAGCTACCCCGTCCAGAACCTCCCTTAAGCGCCGCGCTCGCTAGCTAGCGATGGCGTTCAACCTAGGGAATGAAGTGAATGGAAATGACAAGCAACGAGGCAAGGTTAAGGGGGCAAAGTAGGGTCTGGGGTTCCTTTTTTGGTCGTAGTATGTACATATGGCGACGATGGGGATCCGGTTTATAGATATATAAGTGGTAGTACGAAGCTGTATATCGTCGGAACTTTTTGCAATATATCGCATACTTGATTTTGATTTTTGATCTGATATTCGCCAGTGTGATGATGATTATGGGCATTTGCTAGGTCTACTAGGTAGAATCTCGATTAGTGTTTAATACGAATTAAATCTTGACGAATAATATTGCCTGCTCATAGTTATAGCATACAGGTAGACGCAAACTTGAATAAAAAGCCTACGTTATAACTTAGGTGTAGTTAATTTCTATCGTCGGTTGATATATATTTCAAGGATATCAATTCATATAAAGTAGTCCACGTAGCGTGGCCAGATATGCAAGCGAGTGAGCCCAATGCAAGTTATCTAGGAATACCACAATGCAGAAATCAAATTCAATTCCAAACGCCGCCCTATGCCTGACCCTTTAATTCTTCCTCCACTTGATTCTTTACAATCTCCCTGACCTTCTGCCAATCGTTTTCTACTTCCGTAACTCTCTTTTCCTTTGCCTCTAGGCCTAAAAACTCTGGCGGCAGGACCTTCTCCTCAAAGTTAAAGCCGGGCTCATCTTTCAACGCAAGGTCAACCGCGCCCGCAAACTTGGCCGGGTGAGCGGTTGAAAGCGAGATGTGAGGAACCTTGGAACGCTCTAGTGACCGCAATGATGCGGCCACACCTATCGCGGTATGAGGGTCCAGGACGTATTCGATCTTCTTAAAATAATTCCTAATCGTATCGATCGTCTGCGAATCGCTCACCCGTTCGCTTTCAAAGTCGCGCTTAGCACTAGAGTGCACGTCCCGATAGACAGGACCAAAACCACCACTCGTCTTTAGTTGCTTCATCCATGCGGCGACCTCCTGACCAGCTTGTCTCCTATTCCACTCAGCGTCCATACCGGCAACGGCGGCGAACTCGTAAGCTAGGAACCAAAGTAATCGCTCAAAGTTACTCGAGACGAGGATGTCCATTGCGGGGCTCAGCGTTTCCTTGACGCCATCTTCGTGAGCTTTGACGCCATCGACCGATAGACCCCCTTGCGCTTCCGGACCACGGGCGGGCTTTTTCTCGTATTTCCCGGTCTTCCAAAATCGGTCAAGGATGTCGTTCTCGTTTGTCGCAATTACTAATTTCTCCGTAGGAAGACCCATCTTGTGCGCAAAGTAGCCGGCTAAGATATCGCCGAAGTTACCGCTAGGTACAACATAGCGGATTTTTTCGCCAATAGTCAGACCAGATGACTTTACAAGCGAAAAGTAAGAGTAGAAATAGTACACGATCTGGGCCAGAATTCTTGCCCAGTTTATCGAGTTTACTGCGCCGAGGTTAAGAGTCGAGTTGATGTCGGGATCGGCAAATAGAGCCTTTACTATGTCCTGGCAATCATCGAATGTACCTTTGACCGCTAAATTGTGCACGTTTTCATCCAATACCGTGGTCATTTGCGCTTCTTGAATAGGGCTAACCCTGCCTTTGGGATGAAGGATAAACACCGATACGTCCTTCTTTCCTCGTAGTCCGTAGATAGCCGCCGAGCCGGTGTCACCACTTGTAGCGCCTACTACAGAGAGATGATGTCGGTCGGTGCCCGTCTTTCCCTCATTTTTTCGTACCAGGAAGTACTCGAAGAGGTTACCCAGAAATTGGAGAGCAACATCTTTGAAGGCGAATGTAGGACCGTGGAAAAGTTCTAGTAGGTACAGGTTATCATGAAGATGTCGTAGCGGTGTAGTTTCAGGGGCACGAAAGGTCGAATAACTCCTGTCAATGATTTCCTTTAGGTCATCGCGTGGAATTTCAGACGGCGCTATATATAAAGATAGGATCTCGAGGGCAAGATCTGGGAAGGATAAGTCTTTCCAGCTCTGCCAATCGCTCACCGAAGGAATCTCCTCCGGAATGTAAAGCCCGCCATCGTTGGCTAGACCTTTTAGAACGACCTCTTCGAAGGTAAACTAAAGAAACCGGTTAGCGAAAAGTTGCTATAGAGAGTCACACCACTATAGCTCCTACATCATAGTCCTCGCCCCTGGTACTCAAATACCTTTGAGAGGCATTACGGTCGTCCGAGGAGCTGGCATCTGTCGTCTCGCCATTGGTTCCGTTCGACATGGTGGAAATCTAAGACCAGGGACAATGGCTAGGTTGTCTTACGATCTCCAAGTTCCCTCGAAGGGTATGTTTCGCCTGGAGATGACGAAAGGAAAAAAAAATTTGGAAGAGCGAATTCGGCTGATAGTTGATTACTACCCCGCACTAGCCTGATCTAGATAAATCTGAGTTGGGAAAGAGGGGACCACTTCCCTTAGTCCCCTATTTTCTATCCTTTGTGCTTGCCGACGATCAAATAGAAGGAGGCCAGCTGAACAAGGCTCAGTATTATTGCCCCTGAACACTTGATTGGTTTAATCCTTGTATCTTGTTTTCTTCCCACCCTATTCTATGCATATTCCATATTGTTTTACGAACTGTATAATGTTTCTCTTTAGTGACTTGCATAATTATGAATACACTTACCTAAGAGCTATTACGAACTTGTTCCTTTTTGTTGATAGAACGGCTAGATACATGTTGAAGTTGTTGTGATAGTTAATCGCGATAGATAGGTACGTGAGTATGGACTTACCTAATACAGCAGGTCTGCTGTGAGGTCATAGCGTTGATTCGTGGGAATGTCGAATTGCCCATGTATTGTACCTAAGTACCTATTTTAGCCACTGTGGGATAGCGCTTTCTTGATATCTCCGGCTTGGTCAGCAGTCATTATCGGTACCAGTCCTCCCGTTGTCCCCTGCTTTCTGTTTATTATTTCATCCGCTCAACTTAATTTCATCATTACATCAAGTGTGAACTATCCATCTCAATATGAACTGACTAATTATAGACTATCATTCTTAAACAGTAGTATTCTCTTAAAGCTCTATAATTAGCCACTGCTATCTAAAGTTATTGCCTATTATATTCCAACTCATCGATCCGCTACTATGGCCCCCGACAGAGGAAGCGTCGAGGTTACGGCTCCCCCGTATTCGTCCGGGACCGAAGAAGAGGCTAAGCGCCTTCCGGAGGGCCGGCATTTCACTTTTCGAGGTGTTGCCGCCGGTCTACTCGTCGGGCTGATGTGAGTAGCACGTATATTTATTTGTTTCCCTTTCATAGCAATGCGTAGACGCGTCCTATTTTCTTCTATAAGCTATTACTTCTAGAACATGATGTAAACCCCTCCGTGTAGTAGTGTATAAATTATATCAAAAAAGGTAGTCATTACTGACTTCATATTGTAGAATATGTTTCAGTAATATGTACTTCGGGTTGCAGACTGGCTGGATTTCTATGATGACAATGCCTGCTAGTCTATTAGGCTTTGGCATCTTTAAGACTCTGTCACGTCACCTAACATTTCCATTCTCCCCGGTGGAAAATGTGCTTGTGCAATCTGTGGCAGGCGGAATGGCAATCATGCCTCTTGGTTGTGGATTCGTAGGCGTGGTAAGTAGTGATGGGTCCAACAAGAAAAGAGTAGCCATACTAATCGGATCCATCTCGACCTTAGATACCGGCTATGGAGTATATGATGGATTCATCAGAACAAGGCCCGATAAGATTAAGCATGTGGAAGCTCATAATCTGGTCTCTAGGTCTTTGCTACTTTGGTGTTGTATTTGCCGTTCCGTTGTAAGTCAACGGTCCTTTCTGGTATATGCAATGTTGGTAGCTAACCTCATCTAGACGCCGTCAAGTGATCATCAGAGAGCAATTGAAATTCCCAAGTGGGTTTAGTACCGCGGTTCTCATTGGGGTCCTTCATGGTAAAGGTCAAACGCAGAACAGCGGCGCATTGGATGCATCGAAAGCCGCCACTTTTGGTAGTCTAGCACTTGAAAATCAACCACTTCTACAAACCGAAGGTGCTGATGGTGAGGGTGACGTCGCTAATTCGACTGATGGACTACCACCCGCTGAGACGACAAAGCCTTATAACTGGGGCTCTAATATCCGGCTACTTCTGATTACGTTTGGAATATCTGGCTTATACACCCTCTGCACTTATTTCTTTCCCATACTTAGGAACCTCCCTATCTTCGGAACTGTGGCAGCAGATACCTGGCTGTGGACTCTAAACCCAAGCCTCGCCTACGTCGGTCAAGGTATTATAATGGGTCCTTCTACAACTATACATATGCTTCTCGGGGCGGTAGTTGGCTGGGGTATTTTATCTCCTCTTGCTAAATTTCGAGGCTGGGCCCCAGGACCGGTCGATGATTGGGAGGAGGGTAGTAGAGGCTGGATTGTTTGGACTTCTCTTGCTATTATGCTAGCAGATGCCATTGTCAGCCTAGGATACATTGCCTTCACCCCCCTTCTGAAGAACTATCCGTCTATATTTTCCAGCATAAGACGGCAATTTCAGTATGATGAGCTCAAGAACTTATTCTTTAGTCGATCCAGAGGGTACACAGCTATTCGGAGCAGCGAAGACGACCCGAGAACTTCAGTAGCCACGAGTAGCTCGGAAGACGTAAATGGCCTACCAAGCCCGTTAGTTGAGCGTAGTAATCCTTTCGACACACAACCGACTAATACCCCAAGAGCCTGGGATCAAGATGATGCACCTCCTGAGCAACTGGTCGGAAATAGAACAGTTAGTGTTGGTCTCGTTGCATCGGTCCTCTTTTGCATCGCTAGCATTCATATCACGTTTGGCGACCTAGTTCCCCTATATGCCACTATCATAGCCGTTCTAATGGCAATGGTTTTGAGCATAATGGGAGTTCGAGCGCTAGGTGAAACGGACCTGAACCCCGTTTCCGGAATCAGCAAGCTAGCGCAGCTTTTCTTCGCATTAATCATCCCACAATCTCACAAATCAAGTGTACTCATTAACTTGGTGGCTGGCGCCGTATCAGAAGCTGGTGCATTACAAGCTGGTGATCTCATGCAAGATCTGAAGACCGGCCACCTACTAGGTGCAGCGCCCAAAGCGCAGTTCTGGGGCCAGATCATTGGCGCGACTGTAGGTGCCGTTGTCAGTGCGTTCATCTATCGGTTATACACTGCCGTATATGAAGTTCCTGGGGACCTGTTCCAAGTGCCAACCGGCCGCGTGTGGATCGCAACTGCGAGGTTGGTCACTGGGAAGGGATTGCCAGAGATGGCCAGGAGTTATGCTATCGCTGGAGCGGTTATTTTCGCTATCTTCACTGCCCTTCGTACAAAAGCGATTGGAAAGAGCTGGCATGCGTATATACCTGGCGGGATCGCCGTGGCAGTTGGTAAGAACAAACAAATATGATTAATTATCTAGATCTATTGCTAACAAAATACTCTTTAGGCATGTACAATGTCCCGTCTTTCACATTAGCAAGAACTATTGGTGGTTTGATAAACTGGTACTGGAGGATATATCTACGAAAGGATGATACACCGCTCATTATCCTTGCGTCAGTGAGTGCCTTATTATTATGATTATAATTATTAGCTTTCTGAATAGCATCACTGACATCCATTATAGGGTTTCGTCCTAGGAGAAGGGGTTTTGAGTATCGTCAATTTGCTGTTACAGAGCTCTCAAGTTCCTCACCTCTGAAAACGTTAACACTAGCCAATCGGGGAATGTACGTAGTTCAGCCTGAAATAATCATACGATGTTTGGTCTATCTAGGTAGGTAGTATATATTTGTCCTATTTCTTAGTTTATATTACCACTTATCAAGCGATCTCGGTATGTTTACCAAATGGTATAACTGGAGAACATCAGACGATGCTAAGGGCAGCGTCAAGTACCACAGTAGCATAATACTTGGATATGCACAAATGCATCTCCGTATGGGGTAGTCTGGCCCCGAGGATCGGATATCATCTAATGTACCAGGAAATATCCGGCCTTGTGATCGCCGATCTCAGCCGGAGCCGTGGTTTTGTGGGCTGATTTTGCCCCCGCATTTTAAGTTCCACAGCCGGCGCGGGGTCTTAATATATCGGTGGTATCCCTCTCGAAACACGCGGGCCAGCAAAGTCTCGCATCTCACATCGTAGTTGGCCCGATCAGTGTAATACCAGTCAAGATGCTGCTCAACGAGAGTCATATCGACGTGCAAACAACCGTGGATGGAAAGGAGACATCGATGAGTGAGGAGGCCCCCCCGCGACGGTAGAGGCTCCCGACTAGAGACGCTAACGTTGGGCAGGAATTTTCACATTCCATCCCACCATCCCGCAATATCCTGATGCGTAAGGCCTTTATTTTCTTTCCACTTAGGGACTTGGACATAAGTTTGCTGATGAGTTGGCAGTCGATTTCCTGGCGTCGTGTTATTCAGCGAGATCTATCAAGGTATCATCATCGTCGAGCATCTAACACATTTAGCACGGCAAGTCGTCGACTACTATGCAGCTCGCTAATTAGCGCGTGGACAGTCACGGGTCCAGTATCGCGATTTGCGCGTCAAATCGCAGGTCAGGGATATATTGTTGCCGCTCCATCGTCGTATCACGACTTCACTGGCCCCGAAGCCCTAGCCTACGACGACCCAGGAACGAACCAGGGGAATGAATGGAAGGTGAAGAAGGTAAGATCGTGGCTCCATGTAACATATCGACTAAGTGCCGGCTGACGGCGAGCATGGTTACAGACTCTTCAATCATATGACGAGGACTCCCACAAGGCGGTTGATTACCTCCTCAGTCTCCCTACGTGTACGGGCAGGATAGGCAGCACGGGAATGTGTCTGGGTGGCCATCTTTCTGTGCGAGCTAGTGTAGGACATTTTACCTTCGAATAAACTCCCTTGCGCTGACGTGCTCCTAGCTTGATCCGCGAATAAGCGCAACCGTCGCGTACTTCGCTACCGATATACACTCCCGTACACTGGGACCTCATTCGGGAGCCAACTTGGCAGTCCAGGGCCCAGAGAATAGCATCCACACGCTTGACAAGCTCGGCGAGATTAAGGGCGAGGTAGCCATGATTTTCGGCATCAAAGACACCCACGTCCCGGACGAGGGTCGCGACTTGATTCGACAGAAGCTGAGGAGCTCTGGAACGGTCTTCAGTTTCTACGAGTTCGCGTGGGCGCAGCACGCCTTCATCCGCGATGAGCTGAGCAAGGGTCGCTATGATCCGGCAATCACCAAGATCTGTTTCGAGGTGTTGTTGGAACTGTTCGGCCGAGTGCTAAAGTCAGACCTGGGACAGAGGGACAGCAAGCCCCAGACGATTGAGCACGTCTGTTGATTAGTCTTTGGAGTCGGCAGTCTGTATCAGGAAAACCGAAAACAATCTCGGTGAAAATATCCACCAACCCATTTCCCAGGGGTATTGCTTAGCTACATATCCGCTCATTATCTACCCAAACTACATACTACCTATGTATACTGACTGAATTCCCGAAAATGGAAGTAAGGCAGACAATACGTAACTAGATCAAAATATGTAACGCTACTTAAAGGCCCCTTGATATTTCAACAGGCCAGAAACGGCCGCCAGAATGCCTTACCAAATAAAATGGACGCTGGACTCGTCCGCATTTTGTTGAAAATGAGACATGCAGACATTCAAACCGTTTTCGGAATAATTAGTCGTCCGTTAGGGGTCGTCGTGGCTGATTTAGGTCGTGTTTAGTTACATTACGCTTGTAGGTATGCGTCTCGAAGATATTATGCATATTTTCTCCTACAAGGCTGGCTACCGAATTATTAAGTCTCTAAATAAGATATAGAATATTGGAGAAATCAGGTATTGGTCAGCTTAGGATTTTGATATCACAAAGCCTCGCATTGGTCTATGTATACCTAAGGTGGGGCCTGCGAACTGAAAAGGCTGCTTGACGATGGTTCGTATGAGATGATGGTGCAAAGTTGCTTCCAAAGGGGTTGTGGTTTGTACACTTTTGGATGATACCTGCCGCTTCTGAATGCGATTCTATGAATGCCATTGGATTCGAACTCGAAAACACGTACATGTACATACCTTACGTACCTAATGTAGATCCTCCGAGAAGTTGAATCTTCCAGAATTACATAATGACGTCCTTCTCGCGGTTTTGTACCTACCTAGGTACACAAATAAGACAAGGCAAGCAGATTGTAGAAGGCAGAAGGCAGTAGGCGAAGCAATTGGAAGTTGCCTTATCAACAGATCCGTTCCTGCCTGACAGCGAAAAGAAGAGAAGAGAAGAAAAAAAGGTACATTGAGGTAGGTATTGTGTATTTCGTGCATTTATTTTGTGGGCCATAAGGCGGGCTGATTAGCCCGGGCGACCAAGCAGTGATGTCAGTACCTTTTACTGAGCACCATGGCGGGGTAAGTACCCAGAGTACCTATGTACTCAGAGTGTGATGTGCATACATGTATGTAGAGAATAGAGACGATACTTGGAGCTTTGTACCGTAGGCCTGTTGCTCCTATGTAGGTATGTACATAATGTAGAGACCTCTAGAATTAACAGTGTACCTACAATACTATTACGAAATTCACTTATATCCTTACATAGGTATGTATATATGTACACTTTTGAGTAGGACAGAAAATATGGTACATGTAGGTAGTACATGAGTGCATGTGTGTAGGTTAGGTAGGTACATACTGAAAATTCTACTCTTGTCTATTCCTATCTAGGGGTTTCCACTGAATTCAGGAAGCTTGAAGGTTTTTTTCAGTTAGCAAGTTAGGCGGAAAGTACCAGAAGCGGGTACCAACTTCCAGCAATTCGAGAAGATTCCCTGGCCCCACCATAGCTTCCACTTCTGGTTGTATAAACTCTTGCTCAAGTCCCAAGGACAATTTCTCTTCTCATCATCAATCTCAGACATCAACAACAACAATCCAATCCACACAAGAACAACGCAAAACACATTAATTTAGATACCCGCCCCATTTGGGTACAAAAATCCCGTTGCGTTTCGACATATCTACAACGATATTACACCTCTACATCGCACCTTTTTCTTTCTATTACCCCGCCATACCTACTGTTTGACCCAAAAAGTCAACATCTTTCACAATGGTTGCCGCAGTCGGTATTGACTTGGGCACGACCTATTCGTGTGTAGGCGTCTTCCGAGACGACCGAATTGAAATCATTGCCAATGACCAGGGTAACCGAACCACACCTTCCTTCGTGGCCTTCACGGACACGGAGCGTCTAATTGGTGATGCCGCCAAGAACCAAGTCGCTATGAACCCCCAGAACACCGTCTTCGACGCCAAGCGTCTGATCGGTCGCAAGTTCTCGGACCCTGAGGTTCAGGCTGACATGAAGCACTTCCCCTTCAAGATCGTTGACAAGAACGGTAAGCCTATCGTCGAGGTTGAGTATAAGGGTGAGGTGAAGCAGTTCACCCCCGAAGAAATCTCCTCTATGGTCCTTACCAAGATGCGAGAGACCGCTGAGGCCTACCTTGGTGGCACTGTCAACAACGCTGTCGTCACTGTACCTGCCTACTTCAACGATTCTCAGCGACAAGCTACCAAGGATGCTGGTCTAATTGCTGGCTTGAACGTCCTACGAATCATCAACGAACCCACAGCTGCCGCCATCGCTTATGGTCTTGACAAGAAGACCGAGGGCGAGCGCAACGTTCTCATCTTCGATCTCGGTGGTGGTACCTTCGATGTCTCTCTCCTAACTATCGAGGAGGGTATCTTCGAGGTCAAGTCTACTGCTGGTGATACTCACTTGGGTGGTGAGGACTTTGACAACCGACTTGTCAACCACTTCGTCAACGAGTTCAAGCGCAAGCACAAGAAGGATCTCTCTACCAACGCCCGTGCTCTGCGACGTCTCCGAACCGCTTGCGAGCGTGCCAAGCGTACTCTTTCTTCTTCCGCTCAGACCTCTATTGAGATCGACTCTCTATTTGAGGGTATCGACTTCTACACGTCTATCACCCGTGCTAGATTCGAGGAGCTCTGCCAGGATCTCTTCCGATCCACCATCCAACCCGTCGACCGTGTCCTTGCCGACGCTAAGATCGACAAGTCTCAAGTCCACGAGATTGTCCTCGTCGGTGGCTCCACCCGTATCCCCCGTGTGCAGAAGCTCATCACCGACTACTTCAACGGAAAGGAGCCGAACAAGTCTATCAACCCCGATGAGGCCGTCGCCTACGGTGCTGCCGTACAGGCTGCTATCCTCTCTGGTGACACCAGCTCCAAGTCGACCAACGAGATCCTGCTTCTCGATGTCGCCCCACTTTCCATCGGTATTGAGACTGCTGGTGGTATGATGACCAAGCTCATCCCCCGCAACACCACCATTCCTACCAAGAAGTCTGAGGTCTTCTCCACCTTCTCGGACAACCAGCCTGGTGTCCTGATCCAAGTCTATGAGGGTGAGCGTCAACGCACCAAGGACAACAACCTGCTCGGCAAGTTCGAGCTGACTGGTATCCCACCTGCGCCTCGTGGTGTCCCTCAAATCGAGGTCACTTTCGATGTCGATGCCAACGGTATCATCAACGTCTCCGCCGTTGAGAAGGGCACCGGCAAATCCAACAAGATTGTCATCACCAACGACAAGGGTCGTCTATCCAAGGAGGAGATCGAGCGTATGCTTTCCGAGGCCGAGAAGTACAAGGAGGAGGATGAGGCTGAAGGTCGCCGTATCGGCGCCAAGAACGGCCTTGAGTCGTACGCATACTCTCTCCGAAACACCCTTTCCGACTCTAAGGTCGACGAGAAGCTCGACGCTGGTGACAAGGAGAAGCTCAAGGCCGAGATCGACAAGGTTGTCTCTTGGCTCGACGAGAACCAGCAGGCCACCCGCGAGGAGTACGAGGAGAAGCAAAAGGAGCTGGAGGGTATTGCCAACCCCATCATGATGAAGTTCTACGGAGCTGGTGGTGCCGGTGGTGTTCCCGGTGCCGGCGGCCCTGGCGGCTTCCCCGGTGCTCCCGGCGGCGCTCCTGGTGCTGGCCAGGATGACGGCCCCACTGTTGAGGAGGTTGACTAAACGGTTTCGCACTCATGATATCTCTTTTCTTTTATCGTTCCGGCGTTTTCCTCAGGTGTTAATGACACGCTGTGTGGCGGTCTCGGATTTCACGGGTTTGCACTAGATTTTACTGGTAATGAATGATACAGGGCAAAAGTTGCGGTTTATGACTTGCATGGGATGTATTCTAGGCAGGAATAATCCTTCTACGAAGCAATGAAGTTAATTCATAAATAAACACTGTGATCTTGATGAATGTGACATGTGTGACATGATTATAAGCTTGCTACATATTTAATGATTTTCTATAGTTGAATTATTATCATGAGATGTAGGACTCTGAGGTAAGCCTTGAGAAAATGTGTAAATTTCGTAGGTGCTCCCATTTCAAAAATGGCATGATGCTATACCTTGGTACACTACGGACTTAACCCTACCCATCCAACTGAAACTAGATATCTGACTGAATCCTTCTGTACTTTACATAAATAAATGCACACATTACTATACTATCCTAGGCTACGACTGGCGCGACTGCAGCTGTTCCTGGACGCTCCGTCTTCGCTCAATCTCAAGCCGACGCCACTCCTCGTCGCTGATACTCGGCATGTCGAGGTGTTCGCGGAAGGCGGTATCAGGCTGGACCTTGTCGTCCCTGGGCTGCCAGACGTCGGCACTGCTGGGACGTCCGGGGGCGTGGTACTTGAGGTACTCCTTGCGGCGATAGTAGGCGCGGATGGCTTCTTCCTTCCGGGGGCCCGAGTAGGTGCGGGTGCGCATGCAGAACCAGAAGTCGTCCCAGTGCTCGGAGCAGGAGCGCATGGTGCCGGAGCGGTAGACGGATACCCATTGGCCGCCGAGGGAGTTGCAGTGGTAGGCGGCGTCGAAGGCTTGGCGGCAGGACATGCTGGTTGGGAGGAGGGACTCGGTTATTGGGTCTAGGTGGGAGGGGATGGGGGGGTCGGCTGTGGTGGCGGTGGTGGTGGGGGAGGACCAAAAGAGGGATGAGGAGCTGGAGGGTTGGGAGGAGGACTGTGATGGTGTTGTTGTTGTTGTTGTTGGTGGTGGTGGTGGTGGTGGAGGAGTAGATGTGCTGTTGGCCGAGGGCTCGGGGGGAGGCTGTGTGGTGGCGGGTTTGCTGGCGATGCCGAACTCTGCTTGCAGCTGGGCCATGAACTTAGCGATTTCGGGATCGCCATAGTCGGATTCGGGCTGCTTTGGCGGAGGTGCCGCGGGCTTATTGTTAGACTCGTCGGCGGGAGGATTGGGGCCTTTCGGGGCGGCGGAGGGGGATGGCGATGACCACATCCAACCCATGGTGTCTATTGTCAGCTGGCTTGCTGGTTATAGCTTCGTATATGAGGTAGTTTTGTCGATTGGGATTTGTGTTTTATTCTGCGCTTTCGTTGGATTGGATCTCTTGGGAATGAAAGACAGCAGGTAGTGATTCGTATAGCTAGTAGATGAAGCACTTGGATTGAAGAATAATAGGACAAGAACAAAAGAAGGTTTCAGCGTTCGGTCGAGTATATGCGGGGGATTGGCGCGGGGTGCAGTATTGGAGTATAGTAGTATTTGCTCTCGTGATCGATTCCCTCGGAGGTGATGCGCTTTTCCTTTCCAGCCAATGACAGAAGCGCTATTTGCAGCTCCAATCCGTGGTACGATTGATCTGGTACAATACGGAAGCAGAGATGGTCTGATATGCGGAATAGTGACCTCAGATATATGCAGGTGGGTTTTGGGTATCACTACATATGTACATAGAAGGTTTGTAGGTTGTATATGCCCGTTCAAATTCGATATACTTTTTCTATTTAACTTTGTCTCGACGGTTTCTCAATTGTTTCGCGGTGGGTTAGATGGAACCGTAAGCTTCCTTTCATCCCACTAAGACTGTGGCTTTACTGGCTGTGGCACATTATACCTATAAGGTATTTCCATTACATAAAGTGGTGGCTTACCTAACTTATTTTTCACAGGTGGGGAGGTACAACCTATTAGCGATGACCTCATCGGCCTTCACGAAACTTGTTGAATTGAGCTGAACTAGTTGAATATTACTTGAACTAACAACAATAAATTCCAGCAGATTCATCACATTCGTTAAGAATCTCATATCTCTTCATCCAGCTCATCGCCAACTATGAGCATGGGGAAGAGCTTCGAATTATCCAGACGATGATCCCAAGATACCCATGTCTCGGCCCTAGGAGCTTGCCTGGGTTGAGGGCGTTAAGAACCCCGGGCTCATTTGCGAGACCTATTCTCACACAACGTCACCAGCCACGATGGACGTCGGTGCCGAGAGCTTGGGAGAGCACTACCACCGGAGAAGGGAGAAGTGGTCATATAGATGCTGCTCCGAATGAATCCATTCTTTGGATAGACAGTATGACTATTTTCTTTTTTTCCTTCCTTCTTTTTATCTATCCAACAATACCATACCCTTAATATACTAAGATGAACTGAGATAACTAACAAAACCTGTTAGATCTATTTCCCCTTAAGCTCTCTGGATTACTACGAACGCCATGGAAGAGCCCCGACCTGGACGTGGCCGAGCTCATGAAGCAATTTCGGAATTCAACCCTAGGCGCCCTTGACCCTATGAACATGGTCAAGCGAGCCATTCCAAAGACCGTCCCAGTTAATATCACTGAAATCCTACCTCGCCTCAAGGACGGCGGAGCTTTTGTCAAGTTCACATATCCTGCCGATGTACCTGCTAAGGAAATCGAGGCAGCCATCTCTAAATACCTCCAGGAGCAGCCCGTAAGGCCATTTTTTAGTCCCTTCAGAGGAGTCCAGGCCGGACTAGTTAGTGGTGTTCCCTGGCTAGAAGACCTGCATAGGTTTCCTAAGGACAGACTAAGGGTTGAATTTGTCCCTAAGAATCCGGGTGAGGAGGCGGTCGAGTTGTCCCAGGAAACCTTGTATAGCTTATTCCGTCGGTACGGAAAGATTGCAGAGATCGTCTCACAACCATGGGATTCTAAGGTCTTCCCTAAATACGCCTATGTTGATTTTGCATCCGTTAGAGATGCTATCATGGCCAGGAACTGTTTGCATGGTTTCGTCGTGCCCGAAGATCTTGGCGGCGGCAAGTCGGGAACTAGGCTACGCATGTCCTATGAACAGCGAGTGCAACCACACCGGTTTTGGGAATGGATATCGAACCATCCGAGAATTGTCATTCCTGTCTTGGTCGCGTTACTAACTGGTCTCACTGTTATTATATTCGATCCCATTCGATCGTTTTTCGTCAAAGCTCACGTCACACGCCGGTTTCGGATCAGCAACAGCAAGCTCTATAGATGGCTTCGAAGGCGGACTGTTTATATCTTAAATCTCAAGAGAGAGAAAGCGGACCAAGCAGGATTGAGTGCAGTTTGGACTCACAGGAGGGACCTGATCCACCAGATTCAGAAATGGCTACTAGAAACTGCTGAAACTTTCATCGTTGTTCAGGGGCCCCGCGGCTCCGGTAAGAAAGAACTGGTCTTGGATCAAGCCCTAAAGGATAGAAGTAATGTTCTAGTCATCGACTGCAAACCGATAGTAGAAGCTAGGGGAGAATCCGCAACGATCAAGGAGATGGCGGCATCTGTTGGTTACCGTCCTATATTCTCGTATGCGAACAGCTTGAGTAGTATGGTCGACCTTGCTGTCCAGAGTACAACCGGCGTCAAGGCAGGGTTCTCCGAGACTTTGGAATCACAGCTTCAGAAGATCTTGCAGACAGCAGCCGCTGCTCTTACGGACATTGGTATCTCGGACCGCCATAAGACGGATTCTGACGCTTCACTCCCCGTCGACGCCTACCTGGAAGCACACCCTGAGAAGCGGCCTGTTGTGGTTATCGACAACTTCCTACATAAGGGCGATACTAACGCCATTGTTTATGATAAGATTGCCGAATGGGCTGCTGCTTTGGTCCAATCTAATATTGCCCACGTCATATTCCTAACCAACGACTCGTCCTACTCGAAATACCTATCCAAAGCTCTTCCCGACCGTGTCTTCCGCCAGACAGCCCTCGGAGACCTCTCACCCGACGTAGCCAAGCGCTTCATCCTGAGTCATATTACTAACGGAGAAGTACAACTCGAAGCGAAAGGAGACTTGAGCGACTCGGGCGAGAAGCAGCCAGCATGGGCTAGAGTCCTCCCCGACTTGGGAGAACTTGACGAATGTATCGGTACTCTAGGCGGTCGTCTCACAGACCTGGAATTTCTAGCCCGCCGTCTGAAAGCTGGACAAAGCCCTAAGCAGGCGGTAGAGGAGATCACGGAACAATCCGCTTCCGAAATCCTCAAGTTCTTCCTCCTCCCCGGCAAGACGACCAACGACGGCGAGCACAAGTGGTCCGTGGAACAGGCCTGGTACCTCGTCAAAGCACTCGCCGGCAGCGACTCCCTACGCTACAACGAAGTCCTCTTGCACAACACCTTCGCATCCTCGACCTCCGTACCCGACGGAGAGGCCGCACTCGAAGGCCTCTCTAACGCCGAGCTTATCACGCTGAAATTGCGCAACGGCCGCCCTGCTCTAGTCGCTCCCGGAAAACCCGTATACGCCGCGGCGTTCCGCCTGCTGGCATGCGATCCCGTCCTAGCCGCGAAGATGGACCTTGCGGTGCTGACAGAGCTCGCCAAAGCGGAGGCCAAGAACATAGATAAGGCGGAGACGGAACTCGCGCTGCTGGGTGGCTTGCCTAGACAGCCGGCGCAGACGGCGGGACGCACGACGTATCTGCTGGGCAAGATTGACGCTGCGCAGAGGAAGGTCGAGGCTTATGAACGGGAGATGGGGGCGTTGAAGAAGGTGCTTTGTACTGAGGATTGATTTGATGGAAGGGGTGTGTGGGTGGGTAGGAGGTAAGGGTGTTGTTGTACATAGGGGTAGTGGCATGACATGATTCCAGTCGATACCCAACTCATTTACGCGGTTAGAAAAATTGGTATAGGTGTATAAAATGAACAGCAGTATTATATTGCATTTTACTTTACGTCTTATACCCATTTCAGCACTTACCTCTCTTACATGTGCTTATCTTAGGAACCAGCAAGCACATACGGAATACTCTCCCCTTAGTCTACGAGAAGGGGATTTGGTATAGCTAGATGACAATAGCTACCTTAGGTAGGTTAGGTAGGTAGTTTTATATGCAGGGAAGCATAGGTAGGTAGATATTATTTACCTGTCAAGGTACGACAACTAGATGAAAATAGAAACTTTTGATTTGGTATCACAGACGTAGCAGCACCCGAGTCCATAGCGACCCGGGCTTTTCTAATAACTAGGTACCTAGGCTAGGGAGCCCATTGCCAACAACCTCGCCTCCTACCATCGCGGGAAAACGCCACTGACGTAAGAAATGCAATGCACACGCACGGGACCTAACAACGCCGTAATGCCGCGGAGGAGGGAGAGGATACAGCGAGTATGGGCCAGGCGGAAAGAGAGTAAGTATGTAGATAGTAATGACGACGACGACGACGACGGCACTTGAAGCCCAGCTCTCTTCGACCAGCCCGTCCTTTCCATCTCCTGATTCATAATAGCCTACATACCGGAAAGCGAATTAAATATTACGAGAGGCTAGATTAGCTAGCCTATCTGCGTCTCCTCGACATCGCCCGCATCGCCCTGGATGAAAACCTCGCAGCCCTGGGCGAAGAAGATGCGCGCGGGCCTGTCGGTGTTATTCGCGATGCTGTAGTGATTTCCTGTAGATAGCGGTTGTCAGCTTCGACTTGAACAGCTGCTGTGAGAGTGAGTAGGTGGACTTTACCTCTGGGCACAAACCACATCCCCCCCATGCCAATCCTAAACTCCGTCTGCGCTACCGTAACATCGACACTCCCCTTATGTACAAAAAATACCATCTGCATCTTCCTTGAGTTCTTAGTGCGCTTCTCCGAGCCGGGCGGCATATCCACGATTCCCGACCCGAAGAACGGGAGCGTAAGCGTCTTGGCGAACCGGAACGTTGCGTCCTTGATATCCTTGAGCTGGATGGCCGCTTCGGAGATGGCTAGTTCTTCTTCGGTTTCTTCTAGCTGGTCCTCGTCCGCGGGCTCCGTCTCGTACTCGGGCCTCCAGTAATGGCATTCGCCCGCGATGCGGCCCGGGTCGTACTCCCAGTCGTCGCGCTCCACTTCTTCTTCCTCGGGGATCGCGGATACGCGGCGCCCAGGTCTACCACGTTGCTTCGAAGGGCGACCGCGGCGTTTCTTCGTCGGTACGTCTTCGGTTTCCTCGGACCGCACGACACCATTGACAACGGGCATTACGAACTTTTGACCTTTGTCTTCGAACACATCTACGCCGTCTCGCACAGCATGCTCCCCCTTCCACCATTTTAGGGGCTGATATGAAAGCCGGCCCGACCGTGTAGTCCGCATGTTGTCTTCGTCTTCCCGGCGTAGAGCGACCAGGCCGCGACCTTTGGGGAGGGGAGGACCGCGCTGCACGACGGGCTCCTCGACACCAATTCCAGAGGACTTTCGCTTTCGACCAGGTTTGCCCTTTTCCTTTGTCGCAGTTGGTTTCGACGAAGAAGCCTTGCTCTCCTTTTCCACGGTCCGTTGACGCTTTGTGTTTCTTTCATTGGCATTGTCCTCTGCCTCGTGCTCCTGTTCCTCCTCGACACTACTTCCAGATTGCCTTCCTGGCCTACGTTTTTGGGTCTTCTTCGGAGGTTCGTGTTCTTCGATAGGTGATGAAGCCTTTGCCGGCCGTCCTCGTTGCTTCTTTTTGGCGGGTACATCATTGACTTCTTCAGTTCGTGCAGGTGCTGCTTTTGGAACCGATGGCTCTCCCTCTTCTTCTTGGACAACGGGTGATTTTGGCTTACGACCTCTGCGTTTTTTAGGCTGATCCGGGGATTTTGGTTGCGGGATAGGCTCTTCTTCTTCTTCCTCAATTTCTGGTTCAAGATCTAAAAGGGGCTTGTCTTGTTCCTCAGTTACATTTTCTACCTTGTCACCGCCAGCATCAAGCACGTCCATTGGTTCCTCCGGTTCTTCTTCCTCTTCTTCTTCTTCTTCAATGTCTTCTTCCTGTGGCTGGTTTCGTCTGCCTCGTGGAATAACCTCATCGTCATCATCGGAATCGTTGGTAGGAGCATGTCCGTTAATGCGCTTCTCGTTCCTAGGTTTCGATCCGTTCACCCTCGGTTGTGGAAGGGCTGTCTTATTTGAAGAGCGTTTGGAGAAATCTAACTTGCGATTTACAGATTTAGGGGGTTTAGGTTCGCGCATGGGTATAATGGAACCGCGAGCTGGCGATGAAGTAATACCAAGATGCGGATTTTGGCGTGCTGGAGACTGTAGATGCGTCTTAATAGGAGATCGAGCGCGCGGCAACGATGGGCGAGACTGTCGTTGTTTTAAGATAGTAGCTGGTCCCATTTGAGATTCTACAAAGTTTGAATTAGCATGCAAGAAGGTGAATTCGTAGAGAGCAGCATACCGTCGTCTATTTCCATTTCTTGCTCCTCGTCAGATTCAGCGTTATGCCTCCCATTGGCGCCATTAACGCTGACATTGTTAACATCCTTTTCAGGTGAAGAAAAAAGGGAGTCGACAGCTTCGAAGCCATGTGCATCGCGCTCGCGCTCTGCTAGTGTGAGGCCCGTTTTTCTAGTTTATATTAGTCTCAATTTCGCTCGGCCGGAGCGCAGTATGGTGAATACCTTCCAACAACACCGACATCGTAGACTTGTTCATTTTGCGACTGCGTCATGCGCCGCTGCGGCTGTGCTTTCGCAGGCATGGTAACGGGGGGCGCCGTCTACGGCAGTGGGACTTCGGGAAAACTATCAATCGCTCAAATTTCAAATGTGATGATATATGAGAAAGATGGTGGCCGGTAATAAAAGTCGCATTTAAGGTTGAAAACGCGTAAAAAGTATAAAACAGCGATTCCTTGCGGGGAAGGCGGTGATGTTTACTTTCTTTGTTGAGGTGCACTTTCCCGTGGCTGCTAGGTGACCCAATTGATTTACCGCACGTCCCTGAAGATAATTATGGGTCGGATCTTCCAAATGACCACTTTAATTGGCGGCACGGACGCGCTTTCAAGTAAAGACGCGACTATGTATCAGAGGCAGCAGCTTCAAGTGGAAGCCTTCCACTTAGTCTTCGGATTACTACTAGGTTAGTTAACTAGGACCTATTACAATCTTTCTAATTGTATATTTGGTTGATGTACATAATCTAATACTCTTCTACTTCTACTCCAATAACCAGGCACTATTTAATTAATACTACAGCGAACCCCCAAATTCCCCAAACCTCTACGCCTCTCACCATGGAAGACACCCCAATGGACGATGGCACCGTCGCCCTCGAAACCCCAGCCGACAATGTCTTCGTCCCGCCTTCTATCCACCACGCCGCTACCCTCTCCGGCGAAACCTACACACACTTCTCTGCGGTACCCCCAAATCTCCTCCCAGAACCCAACACCGCCTCCACCTCCGCCTCCACCTCTTCTTCCTCCCCATCAGGCCCCCCCTGCGTCCTCGGCGTCGACGAGGCCGGCCGCGGCCCCGTCCTCGGGCCCATGGTCTACGGCGTATTCTACCTGCCCACGGAACTCTCCGACCCGCTCCTAAAGCAAACGCACCACTTCGACGACTCCAAAGTCTTAACCCCTACCGTGCGCTCACAGCTCATGCAAGCCCTCTGCACCCCCTCCACCGACCTATTCGCTTCCTGCGGCTGGGCCGTATCCTGCCTCTCCGCGCGCGACATCGGCGCCAACATGCTGCGGCCCGCCACCAGCGCAGCCTACAACCTCAACGCCCAAGCCTTCGACGCCACCGTCGAGCTGATCAAGGGCGTCTTCGCCCGCGGCGTCAACGTCGCCGAGATATACGTCGACACCGTCGGCCCCCCCGTAACCTACCAAGCGAAGCTCGCGCGCGTATTTCCCACCACCAAAATCACCGTCGCCAAGAAGGCAGATAGCTTGTACCCCTGCGTCAGCGCGGCGAGCGTGTGTGCCAAGGTCACGCGTGATGCTGCCCTCGAGGTTTTGTACGAAGCTCGGGCCGCGGGAGATGCGGCTGCAGGAGAAGAAGGGGCAACCGAGCAGGAAAGCTGGGGCTCTGGATACCCGTCTGATGCGCGGTGCGTCTCCTGGCTGAGGAGAAACATGCATCCGGTATTCGGCTGGGGGCCCGAGTGCAGGTTCAGCTGGGGCACGGCGAAGGACATGCTAGAGACGAAGGGCGGCGTCAAGGTAGAATGGCCAGTAGAGGAAGACGACGAGAACAGTCGACTTACTGATTACTTCGCCGACAGCAGTAAGGAGAAAGATGCCGATGAGCTAGGGTCTTGGTTTGGTACTCCAGCTGGTTTAGAGGCGTTTTGATCTACAGAAGATTTCGTTATTGCATACCCAAACTAAGCATAGGATCGCGGCGTTTTGGAAGGGGCAAATATTGGATTGTCAAGAACTTGTTTGTTCGGATTAGGGATTTGTCCATGACGAGAAATATCTCTTTACTTATATCCTGGCCCGCCCAGCCGTCTACGAATAATCAACTAAACTTATTACATATCGTCGTCGTCATCAACTGCCACACGCGACTTCTTCTTTCCCCGGCTGTCTAACGTGTCCATGCTGATCGAGTCGCTATCCCGGCCCGCCATGCCAATTGCCTGTCTCGCGGTCTCGTTGTTCTCGACGAACTCTCGAAGACGTTGCTTGCCAATTTCCGAGGCCTGGTTCCAGGCAGCGTTGCTCATCTGCATCATAGGGCCTAGGAGATTAAGGCTGTACGAGACGTACAACCCACCGGCGATGATGACTAAGAGTACAAAAAGAACGGGGTTGCGCAGAACTGGTGAGGGTTAGTATAGTAACGGTAACATCGTGTAAAAGTAACTCACCTGTCAGGATCTCGTTCCACCCCAGTGCCAATAGCAGACCGTAGAAATACAATGGGACCTGCGTAATCCCACCAATGGCACTTCGCTTAGCTTCCACATACACACCATCGGCAGTCTTCTTAAACCTGACCACCAGATCTTGACGCTTGCTTTCGCTCAAGACGGTCATCTCTTCCTCGAGACTCTTCCCTTCTTCCTCATCAATACCACCAATGGGTGCCAAGTCGTCCTCATCTTCAGGCTCCGCCGCAGAAGGCTGGTTGCCAATAAACTCTGGGAGGTCCGGAGGTGCATATGTTGTGGACAGCCTGAACCTCGACAGCAGGGGAATAAGGGTAAGGGTTGATTCTCGAGCACGAGTGTAGATGCCTTCGATGTCATCGGCCGGCCGCCATATGCGCGGGACGCCCGCTTCGTCATATCGGAATTTATCCTCAAAGTTTTCGCGAAGCTTTAGTAGGATGTTCCCTTCCATCACCTCTTCCTCGATTTTCTCCCGGAGGGCTACCCAACTCTTCCGTCGTAGACGCCATAGTCCAACTTCAACTTCATCTTCACTCGCCTCGAAACTCTTAGCCCTGTCTGTGAAGCGACCCTCGGCTTCCTTGACGACAGAAGTAAAGAGGCTCCAGATACGGTCCCAGAGGTCTTTTTCGGTAGGAGGCTTCTCGCCTTCTTCAGGGGCTCCGGATCCTCCTCTCCCTGATCCAAGCTTGTTGAATTCAAGACCAACCGAATCACCTAGGCGAGATTTTACCCAGCGCTCGATCCGATTCGCCAGCCTTCGCATTTCTTCTTTTCGCAAGCGAGAACTGACTTCATCGAGTTCTTTCTCGAAGAGAACATATTGAGGCTTGAAGTTGGTCCACGCCACACCTGGGATAAACAAGTCCTGCGCCTCTTTCTTGAATGTGTCCAAAGTTCTAGTCTTCTCCGCATCCACGATCTCAGCAAATTCGTAGGCTCCTCCAGACTTTTGGCCCTGCTTAACAGCACCGGACACGGCGTCGCTGAAGCTAGTAACGCAGGCCTTGTGGGCAGCAGACAGCTGGCCGTGGTACAACGCCTTCAGACGCTGATCGATCTTCCCCTCCAGATCCGTTCGTTTATCCGAGTAAACTTTCTTGTGATATCGGCTAGCCTGCGTCTCGAAAGACTTGACGCATTTCTCCCTAGTTGAGCTGCCAATCTTACCGAGGTCCGGTAGAACGATAGGCCTTCCGCTACGAGCGGATTCCGCCTGTTGTTCCTCCAACGGAGTAATGGCTTCATCGAACGCTACGAGGACTTCTCGCGAAATCTCGTCGCAGCGGAACTGAGCAAGGAGTTCTTGCTGTGTAGGTAAATCGAGATCCTTATTATGAACAATCTGGTCCCAAATGCCATTTGCATAATGGGAGAATCCATCGGCCGGGATCCTTCGGTGGTATTCGGGTAGGAAGACGCCACCCTCGAGTTCCTGTTCGCCGTGCTCGAGCTGGTTCTTCGCGTTCCGGCTTCCAGTCACAAACCTGCCTCCTAGGTTCTTGACTTCGGCTTCGAACTTATCTGGCTGTAGGATCTTATGAGGGAGCGCAGCAAAGGCGAAGTCGAAGTAGTCTTCTATATTGGCTCCCTCCAAACCCGCTGGCTTCGAAATCGAGGACCAAATCTTAGTAAGATCTTGGATTAGGGTATTTCGAAGGTTTGATAGGGGAGTGTGACCAATATGATCACGGATGACGAAGAATAGGAGAGACCTGGGGGTAGATCTAAGTACATACGTATTAGCCTTCCATCCGAAACATGGGTTAGGTTTCTCATGGAACTTACTGTTTATCCTTCAAGAACAGTTGGAGGTTGACTTCGAAGACGGTTTTCAACAAGCCCATATTGGCACCTTGATACAAACCAACCTGGTGCTCCCATATGTTGACAATAAGCACTTCGCTAGTTGCAAGCGCAAATAGTGCACTCTTCCTCTCGAAATCTTGGTCCTCGCCTCTCTCTCGGCCGTCAGTACCTTCTACATCCATGACTAGGATATTGTCGGCCATAGAGCCCCTTTTGTTTTTGGACATCCATATTCCCTTGGTGGTTTGGCGTCGTTCCACCTCGGACATCACATTGAACTCGGTGCCAAATAGGTAGTTAAGCAAGGTCGATTTACCGGTGGACTGAGATCCGAATACGGATATCAGATGATAGTTGAATCCAGCATCGGCGACATCGGTTGCACGCAAGTAGGCATTGATATTCTCGCTAGAATATTGTATGTTAGTAAAGTGCAAGGGGGACGGGGGACGGGGTAGCAATAGTAAGGAAAAGGACAGCTTACTTGAACTCCTTGTCCTCGTCAATAACTTGGATGCCATGCTCGTAATGAGCTTTTGTTGGCTTCTCGCCAACAGAAGAGAAATGGCCGTTCATGTCGAGGCTATCGGAACAGTAATCGAAAGTATTTACAAGTTTATAGAACAAAGAGAAGAGTTGCCATCTCCCAGGCCTTGATTAAAGTTGTAGTAGTTCGAAGTAGACCTAGCAATAGGGAGGGTGGGTTGTGTAGAAATGAACATTTCGAACATGGCAGGGGCATCCTTGTTTAAACCGACCGACCTGAGCTGTGTGACGGTTCTGATTCGCTAGCCCAAATCGACAGCTGTTATAAAAAGTGACGGGCGCCACTCTGCCACTGTCACATGCACCAATGGAGGGTGATGTGACACTGCAACGAAGATAAATGATGTCAGCTGGCAACTGCACATGTACAAATGCAACTATCCATCAAGACTAATGCACTAGGTGTACTCGGTTCGTTCAAATACTTGTTCGTAGGCAGTTTATATGCTTTCAACATTCGATTTTGACATATCATGTTAGTAATATCGAACGATAGAATCAAAGTCGCTCGGTGCAAACATTAGGTATATTAGGTACATTAACCAGATATTTTCCAAAAAAAGACAGCCTCATTGTGGGGATATCACCTAACATACCTAACATAACCTGACATACCTACCATACCTAACACACATGTTAACAAGGAGGGTTCATTCTCCCAAAAACACATCTCACGCAATCTTCACATCAGTAGGGCTAAAACACTGCGTTGTCCTTTAAACATGATGCAAAAGGCTAGTTGGAAGCATACCGCTCAAATTCCGCCAATACGATACTGTTATTGGTATAAAACGTTAGTGTCTCTTTCCACCCGGCCACGTAGATGGGCTTTATTTATTAGAACCAAACTTTTGGCCTCTCGAGAGCCAACAAATAAACCATTATGCAGTACATTAAGACAGCAATCCAAAGCCGGATTGGATGCCCCTGGGGTTTGTATTAGGTTCTGGTTCAGCCGGTTCAGGTTAATCTTTTCTAGCAAATCTTGCGAGAACCGGGCCAAGCTCAACCTCTTTTTCCTTTTGCTTGTTCTCCCGCTGCTGTAGCTGTTCCTTCCAGAGTTCTTCAACCTTAAGCCTCTTCTCATCAATAATATTCTTGCCTCGTTGCTTTCGCAGATATCTGCGGAGCGCACTATTCTTTCCGCGGGCTCTATTCCTGAGTTCTGTCTCGATATCAACTGGTTTCGCATCGAGGTCCTTCTCAGCTTGACGTTGCTGCTCAGAACGTAGATCAAGGTTTCCAATGAAGTTAGGGTCCAGCGCGATCATCTCAGGTTGCAACTTGTTCAATAACGACTTGACTTCGGTCTCTTGTCGTTGCTTAGCCGTCTCAAATGGATTGACTTCCAGAGCATCAAAGTTAGGTTCTCCGGCACCAGGGACAATGATCGACGAAAATCCTTCGTCGTGACCCAATCCTAGAATATCTTCGAATGGACACCAACGCACGCGCTCGACGCGCTTTCCCTCGCCGCCCCAGGCCATGTATGGACTCTGGATCTTCTCCTGCTCGGCAGCGTGCTTAGAGTAAAGGCCTTTCCAAATTGTCGTCTTCGTACCCCATCCTACTGCAGTGAGACCTCGGTCTGATATTGCGATCGACGATGCGGGTTGTCGCGTAAAATAGCTATTGACTTCTTTGAACATCCTTATATCCCAAACTGCCATTTTGCAATCTTGCCCAGCCGATACCATATATCGGCCTTCCCTGTCTACGGCTAATGACCGGACGGGGCCTTTATGCGCCAATAGCTTCACCAGTGGTTCGGGTGAGTTTGGAGACCATAATGTAACAGTTCCATTCTGGTGGCCAGCATGTAAGACGGCGTTATAGGGGTTTTGTGTAAGAGACACTGGTGCTCCGAGCTTCGTCGGTATTTCCGTCACTAGTTGACCAGTAGATACGTCTTGGTACTTGAGAAAACCCGACATTCCCTAGCCTCGTAGTTAGTATCAATAGAGCGAGCCATGGTACGCCAAATCTACTAACCAGGGTTGCCAATAAAAAGTGGTACGGCAGGAATTCCATATGCGTTACTTCTTGGTGTTTCCTCAGGCAATGTACTTCAACTCCCTGACGATCGTATATGTAGACATGTTTCTTTTGCGACACGGCGAAAAACTGGTTATTGTGTAGCCACCGTGCATCACGGACCGTTTCTCCAAGCTGTAGCTCACACCCCAACTTGCCTTCGCGCCAATCCATCGTAGCGACATGGCCTCGGCGCCCTGCCAGCAGCAATTCTCGACCAGTTCGGGAATACTCGAAAACGTAGGGTCCAAGCTGGTCAAGTTTCAACTCGAATCGCTTTTTCGCCGACTCGGTGGAGATGTCGTCTAATATTTCTTCTTGTCGCACTCTATACGTCCTCTCTAATTCGTGCTCGGGTTCTAGGAAACCGCTAGTATTTTCGAGAAGTATTTCTGCATCTTTTGCCTTCACTGTAGCTTCCTTATATTTATTCTCCAGGGATTTTAGGTTACTCCGTAGCTTCTTGTCCTTGACGGCTTTGACATTGACTCTGCTCCCTCGGCCATAGTCTCTTTGCGCTTCCTTTAAACGTCGTCGCCTCTCGCGCTCTTCTTTTGGAACAAGTTCCGTTCTGGTTCGTTTAATGACACGCGCGCCATTGTCGTAATCCCTATTGGATGGCTTGGTCACGGCTTTCGTTTCGACTTCCATATTGGTCTGTAGGGTGGTTGTTAAGAAGAGAAGTACGACTTATAAACAGTCAGTACTTGGAAAGTTTGTAGGTCGGCATTTAACGCCAAGCCAAACTTCAAGGCGCAAACCCAAAAATTTCTGAGCAACAGAGACGATAAACTGATAAGAAATGCAGTCCCATAAAAAAGTTGTTATCAGTGGGTAATCAGTCCGATAAGCGACGATAACTAAACCGCACAGAAAAAAATATTGTGATAAGAGACCCATTCCGGCTGCCGATATCCTCAATTGCCCCTCCGCCCCTCCAACCCTCCAACCCTCCAACCCTCCAACAGTCAAGCCAATATTAGCCCAGCGAGGTTCTTGACGTAGATGTTGATCTTAAAAGGAATTCCTACAGTATAAACCTCACCAACCTGGCGTCGCTACCATTCCGATTTAAAGCTGGAGGTGACGGGAAAATGCCTTCCGTAGTAGCTACTCATTCTCATCGGCCGACTACGAAAGTTGCGCCCAAGACTTTCAAGTCCAAAAAGGCCACCAAAGGCGCTCTACGAGACCAGGCTAAAGGTGAGATCGCAATGATTTCTAGATATGATAGATTCCTTTTCTCTTTACTGACACATTAATTCTAAAGGCAAAGTACCCAACGACAAGAGCCAGCGCAAGACTCCTCATCAACAAGTAATGTCCAAGTTCGATCGTCGCAACCAAGCAAAGCAGCGCCAGCTTGCGAAACATAAGGAACACCTAAAAGAAACCTCTGTCTTCTCTGGGCGGGATGGTGCGCCAAGAATAGTTGCTGTAGTACCGCTCTGCGCTGACATTGATGTCTCCGCCGCCATCAAGGATCTTAACAGCAGCCTCGATATTGAGTCCGACGCCTCCGAATCCAGCTTCCCAGTATCCGTCGACAGATTCAAACAAAAGCTTCAATATGTACCAGTCACGAGAGATCTCACCGCATGTATTGATGCGACAAGAGTCGCAGATTTTGTCTTATTCATATTATCATCAGAGACAGAGGTGGATGCTTTGGGGGAACTTATTATCCGAAGTATCGAGAATCAGGGCATGTCCACATTATTCACAGCCGTCCAGAATCTAGATAAAATCCAGCCCGCGAAGGCCCGCCCAGACGTCGTCAAGTCCCTAGTCTCGTTTATGACACATTTCCATCCAGGACAGGAAAAGATATATAACCTCGACTCGAGACAAGAATCCTCAAACCTCATGAGATCGCTCTGTACAACGACGCCGAAAGGAATTAACTGGAGAGACCAACGATCGTGGATGCTTGTTGACGATGTCCAGTGGTCGTCGACTGAAAATGAGCTGACAGTATTAACGGGTGTCGTTCGTGGAAAAGGTCTCAAGGCCGACCGATTGGTCCATGTGGGAGATTGGGGAACCTTCCAAATCGAAAAGATCACAGCCGCACCGCTCTCCACTAAGAGACGGAAAGATGACGGAATGGCCGTAGAGGAAACAGAACCCGAGAATGTCCTGGAGACCCCGGATGAGGACCAAGATGATCTTGTTGAGTTGGCCCCAGAAGAAGCGATGATGGCTGACGCAGATATGGAGGAAGGGATAAAAGAGCCTGCAATCAAAAAGGGCGTATTGTTAGACGACCACCACTATTTCTCCGAGGAAGAACGAGAGGAGTATGCACAGCCAAAGAAACTACCTAAAGGAACATCATCTTACCAGGCAGCCTGGTACCTAGATGATGTGTCAGATTCCGAGTCGGAAATGGATGATCAAGAAATGGAGGATGCCCAGGATGAGGTTATGCCTGCGGCTCCAGAGGACGGCATGGAGGGTTTGGCCAACGCCGAGCCCACTGAGGCCGCTATGTCTGAGTACCCTCAATCGGAGATGTTTATCGAACCAGACGAGGAGGAGGATGCTGCACAGTTAGAAGCATATCGTTCAAGGAAACGTGATGAGGTAGAGGAAGACAAGGAATTTCCGGATGAGATCGAGTTACATCCGAACGTCCTTGCGAGAGAAAGATTAGCAAAATACAGAGGATTAAAAAGCCTACGTACGAGTCCTTGGAATACGGAGGGAGATCGTCCATTTCAGCCCGAGGAATGGTCAAGGTTATTACAAATATCAGACTACCAGTCTTCCCGAAACCGCTCAATAAGAGAAGCTCTAGTCGGCGGGGTGGCCCCTGGAACGAGGGTCCATGTCCACCTCAGAAACGTCCCTAGGGACCTGGAGAAATCATATAACCCTTCGCGGCCAGTCTCGCTCTTCTCACTCCTACGACACGAAAATAAGAAGACGTCATTGAACTTTGACGTTACGCACAAGGAAGATTACGAAAAGTCCATTAAGGCTAAGGAGGAGCTCATCGTTCAGTGCGGCCCTCGACGATTTATCGTCAACCCCCTATTCTCGCTTCCCGGTAACACCGAGAACGACGTGCACAAGTACTGCCGGTACCTCCACCCGGGTCAATCTGCTATCGCGACGTTCATGGGTCCTATTACTTGGGGATCTGTGCCGACATTGTTCTTTAAGCGAACACTTTCTGAGGGGGGAGACGGCGAATCAAGTGTTCCTCTGCAATTAGTAGCCACAGGAACCGCTCGTGCACCATCTACCTCAAGAGTCGTTGCTAAGCGTGTCATATTGACTGGCCACCCCTACCACATCCACAAGAAGGTCGTCACCATCCGATACATGTTCTTCAACCGAGAAGACGTGGAGTGGTTCAAGGCGTTACCCCTATGGACGAGGAGAGGGAGAAGCGGATATATTAAGGAGACTCTTGGTACTCACGGATACTTCAAGGCCAACTTTGACGGAAGGATTAACCCGCAGGACGCGGTTGGCGTTAGTCTATATAAGCGAGTGTGGCCGAGGAACGCTATTCCCTTCACTGGGTCTCTCCTGGAAGAGGGGGCGTCGGGAGTACAGAACGAGGAGGCCATGGATGAGGATGTCCTATAGATACTAGGGTATATGGGTTATAGCATGCGTCTATGTCGTCTTCCAGTCACATCAAGGATATATCATAGAGTGTTTAGATCTCAATCGTTCGGGGATTATCATGAGAGAAATGAGAAACGGTTCCAAATACGATACCAATTTGGTTACGGTTACACGTTTATTTCCCATTCAATCTCAACCCGTCTCAGTACCACACTTAAAACAGCATAGCATGACTGGCAGCGAATCTTTATTTCCCTTATATTCAACACAAATTACCTAAACTAACGTCTCCAACCCAGCCGTCGGCCTCGGCCCTCCTTTTGCCTTACACACCTCCTCAGCACCGCTAGCCTTCCACGCACTAACAATCAAATTAACAATATGATCCACCGCAACCCCCTTCTTCACCTGCGCAAACACCGTCGGCCCGCCCTCCCTCATCTTCCTAGCATCGCGCTCCATGACGTCCAGATCGGCGCCCACGGCCTCGGCCAGATCGGTCTTGTTGACGACCAGCAGGTCGCTCTGGGTGATGCCGGGGCCGCCCTTGCGGGGGATCTTGTCGCCGCCGCTGACGTCGATGACGTAGACGATGAAGTCGGCGAGCTCGCGGCTGTAGTTGGCGGCGAGGTTGTCGCCGCCGGACTCGATGAGAAGAAGGTCGGTGGCGAAGGCGGCGTGCAGGTCCTCGAGGGCGGCGAGGTTCGCGGACACGTCCTCGCGGACGGCGGCGTGGGGGCAGCCGCCGGTCTCGATGGCGCGGATGCGCGGCGCGGGGAGGGCGCGGTGGCGCGTGAGGAATTCGGCGTCTTCGCGCGTGAAGATGTCGTTGGTGACGGCTGCGATGGAGTATTGCTCGCGCAGGGCGAGGCAGAGGGCTAGCATGAGGGCGGTTTTGCCGGAGCCGACGGGGCTGGGGGGGGTGTCAGAGTTAGTTGTTTTTTGTTTTCGGTATTGTATAACTTGTAGGATACTAGGTAGGTAGATTGTGGTCGTATACTAGGGCTCAGGTATATATATATATATATATGTGTGTGTGTGTGTGTATAACAGATTACTCTTATGGACATCGAGTATCTCTACTTTATACTCCTTTAAGGGGGTGGATATGTAAATGGGAATACTCAGACTGGACTTACCCTCCGATTCCAACGGTAAAGGCTCTCTCGTTCCAATTGCGGCCCTCGATGATGGGCATCTCTCGCCCGAGAAAGCTGCCCGGCCCATCGAGGATCTCGTGCGAGTGCCCGTGCTCAGCGGCCGAGAAGCCATCGTGGGAATGGTTGGTAGCGCCTCCGTCGTGGGAGTGTAAGTGAGCCGTCGCCATTGCGGGGTTATTAAGTAGGTACCTAAGGTAGGTAGGTAGTGGGTGAGTACGATAATAAATTTCAAATCACAAAAATACGATGTGTACGACGTAGTAGGTTAGTATGTTTATGAGCCCTCGACGAAGTTTGCAAAAAATGGCAATGTTTTTGAAATTTCTCTTCTAGGTTCTACCAAGCCTAGGTACCTACGAACCTACGATTTTGCTTGTTACTTACACAAACGTATTATTCAAAAACTTGCTTACCGAGAAGGCGCTACAGTTAACAGCAGCTCCCTTGGGTTCTTTCTCTATCCCGCTTCCCGTCTCTCTATCTCTATCTCTATCTCTATCTCTCCATTGCGATTATCTTATCTCTGGTGAGGGGCAGAAGACCTACCCCACATTCAGCGAGCTAGCTAAGGGCATTAGAGCTGGTTTGCATTTTAGACGTTTGTTAGTTATGTCTTGTCTTTGTCTGTCGTTCTCGAATTCGTTTGAGTCTAGCAGAGCGAATATTCGTCAGAGAATGCTTCTATATAACATATAAGTGAAGTTGAAATTGAGGCTTTCGCCATGTCAACGAGCAATGTCTTTGCTAACTTCTGTTACGTAAATTGATAAATATTGGCCTGTAATGAGTGCTTGCCAATACTTGCCAAGTAAGAAATCGATGTCCTACAAGCTTGGCTATTAGCTCAGCTTCCCTAGGCTACATGTCTGCAGTATATATGCGTTCTTTACTCGCAGTTTCCCAACAACAAAAACAACAACCCAATCACCATTCTCCAAAGAATGGAATTCATTCTCGATTGGTCTAGTGGTCAGGATACCTGCTTGTCATTGAACAAGTACGCAGGTGGCCGGGGTTCGATTCCCCGATCGAGAGCATCTTTTTGTCAGTTGAACATGGTGTTTGTCTTTTTCTTTTCTTTCTTTGTCCCTTTCGCCTATTCTTGTTTTTACACTTGCCTCTGCTGTTGGCCTCAATGGCTCCATGTGGCATAATTATATGACAGCTTATTCAATATTTTATTTATCTGTATACGAATTTATACCAATTATTATCATTTCAATATTTCAATATCCAATGTGTACCTAGTCAATCTGTCTTTTATTCAACACTACGCGAGCACATCTTTACCACGTTAAGCAAGATCGGGTCTCAATATCGCAATAGTTTCGATCTTAATTCACGTAGTTCCATACCCTTTCCAGCACCGTATATTAATTAGGCCAGTTAATTTATCTACCTAACCTAACCTATTACCTATCATTCGGTACCATCCGAAACCCTAGGGCTCTGCCGCTGCCGATCACAGAGCTGTTGGTCGACGGTTGTCAAAATCTCCGAGCCGCCATTGTACGGCAGGGAACACCACATGTTGTCTCGAACCCACCCGAGATCGTGTATCATTCCTGGACCAGCGCCTCACGACTGCTTCTACCCTACCGCAGCCAGTAATCCACACATGGTGTCGGTACTGGCCCGAAAAATACGCAATACCCTTCCTTGCTGCTTTATCCTCCATCCTCGTATTGGGTCAAAGCATAAGCTATGGATTGCAGATGCGTGGCTTTGGCGGCTCGAGTAACCTACCTACCTATGTAAGGTGTTAAGCAATACGTGCGTCAGCCATGACTGCAATTATCACGCGGTACGGGCTGCGAGTAGCCGTCGCCCGCCAAAGACTACGTTTGGAATGCAAATAGAATGTCGATATTATCACGAAGTAGTCGTTCCTGGCAGGATTTGCTAGCTCCAGGAATTACGACAAAGATATCGGGTCTACCACAGTGTGATTGTCATTTACCTACCTCGATCCCTCGTGATGACCACCTTACCTTGGACACTTGGATTCTGGTTAGTTAATCGGAGTATAGCTTCAATTCCCTTTGAATTGAGTATTAGATGATACCTTAGATGATACCTTAGATGATACCCAAGATCGTCATTTAATATTCACACCTCGGCTATCTCTGCAATGTCAGCATCCAAATGGAAATAGAAGCGCCCAAAGTCTTCGAGAACGATGATTCGCCTACGGATGGATAACTCGTGGATAACTCAACGATAGCACGTAAGCGCATTTACAGAAGCTACGTTGGTCGAACCAGGTCGTCCAACCGTCTCCATCTTCTCCAGATTTGTATACCTGGCAACGGGCAAGTGGTTAGAAGAATCGATAGCAATACATAAGACATGAAGCATGGGTTGCCGATTGGTATCCTTTCTACAGGGTTACATGGCTTTCCCTCGTTAGCTAGTCTAGAAGAAGATTGATGCATCCCGGCCTGCAGGTTTGTTATTGTTAGTATGATTTTCTATGTACATAGCAACGTAAAGTGCCGCCGGGCGAGACTGGACGGCGAGCAAGGACATTGGCGAGGTTTAGGCGTGCCTATGGAGATATATATCTATGTATGTATGTATGTATTTGTATAACTACCTAGGTTACATACATACATGCATACATACTTACATACTTACATACTTACATGGTTGGGTATTCTACATACTCTAGTCTCTCGTCGCCTTAGCGGTCGTACCACCAAAACCCGTCTAATCGGCCTAGATCCCGCAAGGGACGCCGGTGTTCGGGACCACACTCTCAGTGCGACAGGAACAAACGCAGGAAACAAAACACCGAAGCCACCACGGGAAGATACAGCTGAGAGAAACGCCGTGCGACTATGCAACTACATTGGGGAGTATCCGTCATCCTTCGCCTAGCAGAATTTGGAATGAAGACGTTTTCCCATCTATCTCGATACTGGTTCGATTCTGCTCTCTTCCCCTTGGGGAAAACATTGCTAGGATGCCTATGATGCTAGGGTATGCTTAGGGTATGCTTAGGGTATGCTAGGGTACGTGCATGCGAGCTCCGTAGCACGAGCCAGCTTAAAGTCACAGTGTATTGCTTGGAACTGGGGTCGATATATGTTCGACAAGGGTTACGGACAAGGATCCAACCGCCGTTGTCCCCCATTCGTCTATTGTATATGTATCGACCAGGGTGCTCCTAAAGTTCGAAATTCAAATTCATACATACCTACATACATACATACAACATACATGCCTACCATGCTCTACCTATGCTCTACCTATGCTCCATACTCCATGTTCCATGTTCCATGCTTTTAGCAGACCGCCTCTCCTTTGGCTCCCACAAGAGAGCCGGAGGTCGCAGTGCAGCTATATATCCAGAACCGGGTAAATTATGACACCAGAAGTGCGTCTCGGCTCTAAAGCCAATATGATTTCCAACGCGCAGATGAAATCAGGGCAAACAAAGGGAGATGGAGGTCACGCATCGACCGGAAACTGTTTAGTGTTTGCTTGATCTCCTTTTTTTCCTTTTGGAGCTAATGTAGCCTCTCTCTACTGTGTAGGTATATCATGTATGTAGTATATAATGTACACATTATATAATAGTATGTAGCTACTAATTAATGTAAATTGGAATAGCTGACGATACCTACCCGACAGTCAAGTGATGGACCACTACCGTTCGGTACCGTTCACGCGCCCCTGTATCCATGCTACCTCCATGCTACCTTAAAAATAAGAGGCTTCATTCCCTCTTAGCCAAGCCGGCCGCATTCTGCACGCCTCTGCCCCAGATTTTATTAATAAGAAGTCGACCTCCCTATTGTAGTAAACGATGGATCGCCCTATCCGTCGTCCCTAGGAACTAATGTAACCTACATGTATATATTCTTATACTTTCGCTCTATAACCTTCATGTTAGTCCAGAAAAGGTTTATCCATCCCTCGTTCGCTGAGCTGAGCTGACACCCGTAGCTCCTGTAGCTCCCGTAGCTCGTATAGACATACCTAATTATTAGGTCCGCCTTTCAAAGTCTATCGCTACCGACTGTCTTACTTCTAACTCTGGGAATATCAAGCTCGTGTCTTATGAGACGAGTCATGCATGTCATGAGACGTATGCAGCTGAACCAGTAACTTACCTAAGAAAGGATCAAGAATAATAGCTTCTCCTAATATTTGTTCGCTTCCTGGAAATCTAATACGAACTTCCGGCTCCAAGTTTCCAGCTGTCCAGCTTATACTTTTATCCTCCGACATTACGAATTTTGATACCCTCATCGTCGGTCTATGGAATATTTTTACAACTACATTCCGTCGAATTCAGCCGGGCAGAGACAGACGGATACAATGCAGCTCACCATGGGTCGTTCCGCGAACGATCACCGGGCGCCGATGCCGGCTAGGCAAGCCGTTCCCAAGTCGGATCCATTTAGACCTAGCAACGCGAGACAACAGCGGCATTCTAAGTCGCAACCTTTTGATGCTGATGATTTGCGGCGGCGGCTGTATATAGTTATCGCAGAACAAGAAGCGCAGAAGAAGAGACAAAAGCGAAGGCCAGACGAGAGTTGCCAGAGTCAAGAACAGAGTAGATCCACAAGCAGATCAGAGGCGAGACAGACGGATGCTATAAAACCAGGAGCCAGCGAGAAGAGCTTCGCGACGCGGATGGCAAAAAGCAAAGTCACGATAGCAGATTCAACAAGAGAAAACGACACCCAGCCTCCAAAAATAAAAACCGGCCGGTCCATGTCAAAGTCCATCCAAGACAGGCTACGGCGCCGACCGTCAGAAGTAGACCCGACAGCGACCGAGAGCGCGGTCAAAGCGACATCATACCAGCACGTGCCCCAAGAAGCCGCCGCGCAATTCGAACGGACGGCAACGGCCAACAGCATGCGCGAGAGGAATCTCGGGCACAGTATATCCCAATCAACACTCCAATACCGCGTCGAACGCCGGCCGTCAGACCAACATGACCTCGACTCCAGCACATCCCCCACGCACGCATTAGAACGCGTCCGAAGCAAGCGGGGGCTCTTCCAGACCCCGCAGTGGCACCCAACCGCCGCCGCCGCCGCCGACCCGGAAGACCTCTACCCTCCGCAACCGCAACCGCAGCACCAGCTCCGCCGCCACAGCGCCCCGCTCGTCATCCCCCCGCGCCCCTGGCGCAAAAACAGCATCGGCACCGTGCTCGAGGGCAAAGCCATGGCCACGACGGACGAGATCTCGTCCGAGGAGACGCTCGTCGTCGTCGTCGACCCGCCGCCGCCGCTGCTGTCGACGGCGACGGCGATAAACGCGCACCGCGTCGACTGGACGCAGAGCGACGAGAAGCCGGCGGTTAAGTCGCCCAGCGCCGGGGGCAGGATCCCGCTGCTGAGGAAGGCGGATTCGCTGTGGACGCTGAAGAAGCTGGGGGGGTTTAATAGAGGTGGTGGAGGTGGGGGTGGGGGTGGTGCTCGCGAGAAGCAGTTGCAGTTGCAGGGGGAGGATGGGAGTAGTTCGACGGCTGCGTCGCCGTCAACGATGAAGTTTCCAAGGTTGGGGTTTTTGATGAAGTTGAGACGTTAGGGGATGGTGGCGGTGGCAGTGGTGACGGCGGCTTTAATGACTACCTAGGTACCTACCTATTAATTTAATTCGTTTGTTCATCTGGGAGGGTGGTGGTGGTGGTGGCGGTGGTGATGTAATTATGGCTGAAGAATACCTAAGTTTGTGTGAGGTGGATAATGGATGTATACCCCGGCTGAAGCTGCGAGGATATGCAATGATATCGTGATACCGTGTAATGACAAAAGCATTGATGAGACAAGGGAATGAACTGAATTGTAGTTGGACTTATTATGATGAAGAAATCACTCCTCTTCCCGAGATTGGTTCGTGTAATTATTCTAACCTAGGTAGGTGCATAGGGTTTATATCATCCTGAGACCTCGTGTGTGGTGGTGGTTGTAGGCCGGTTGGGATTTGGTCTGCCGTCTTAATAATAATAAGATATAAGTAGTGATACGCAAGACATTTATCACATACGACGATAGGATCTAGAAAACTCGAGATTTTGTCTGCTTTTTCTTGAGATAAGACATATATCGGACATTTGTGTTTCTTTTACTTTTGCTGTATTAGAATTTGATGGCCGACCTCCTCACGCCAGAGCTGTTGGCCTTCGGTCCCTTGGGCCTTATATGTAGTTACGTTCCTCTTTCGAACTACTACGCTCTTTTGAGGGTTTGGTTTTTAAGACAATATTATTCATCTGAGAAGGTAGAAGAAAAGTCATCATCTAGAAGCTCAGATTCAGGCTCCGAGTCTTCTTTGACAGTCTTGCCATCCTCGTCCCAAGCCATATCATCGTCCAGCAGCATAGTCTTGCCAGTCAGGACGTCCAACGACTTTATTTCAAACCGCGGAAGTGAATGAGTCAGGATCCTCACGGTTTTAGGGGGCGCCATTCGGGTTGAGAGAACTTCTGCCTGTTCCCGCATGTCGGCTATCAGTTGAAGCAGTCCTCCGGTTTGGGAACCGCATCGTTTAGAGTGAGTCGCGGACGTTATCCCCGGTAGGTTCCTAGTCAGACTCATATTGACGACCACCACGCTTAAGTGTAGGCTGTCATTGGAATCTCGCGGTTTCAAAACATCAGGGCAGATGCTGCGCATGCGTAGGTGAAGGGTTCGAAGAGTACGAAGAAGAGTGCCGATAGCTGGGCAGATATGACAGCCTGTCCCTTGCTCTCCTGGTGGATATGAAAAGCCGACAGACAGATCTAAGACTAGAACTCTCAGGTTCTCTAACGAGAGTAAACTTTGCATCGCAGGTAGCGATAGATAATCCCTCGGACTATCGAGGGTCTCAGGGGATGGATAGCTCCAGGCTTGTATACGTAAGGTATGTAACCTACGAGATTGTTGGGCAATAGTGGCAAGCTGGGCGAGGTCATTATTTAGGACCTCTACCCAGGTCTCGACAGGATCGTCCCCAGGAGCCTCGTTCGAAGTAGGCGCCTCCAAATAGTTCGACTCCTGCCCATATTCTTGAGGATAGGACGTGGAGTTGTAGGCTTGATATCCCTTTAGTTCAAGGTCTAGGATTGCCAAGCTGTCTTTCAGCGGAGATGATCTTTTCATTACGCCAGAGGCGATCAGGCTCCGCAGGGTCTCCTGAGAAAATGTGATGCACTTGAAGTATGCAGGAAGAGCGAACTCGAACCACTGTTTGCAGACTGTAAGGCGGCCTAAATCCTCATGGAAAAAGTATGAGCCAATTTGATCAAAGATTTGTGTTAGAGTTTCCGGAGGTAATCGTAGGAGTGACATTGTGAAGACCAAGCAACGCGAGCTGTTAAAAGCTGTTGCGGTACATAGGTAGCGACATGTAAATCGGATTTATCCTTTTTTGCTCATTACCGAGATGATCTTAGGTACACGTCAATACTATGGAAGGAAGGTACATTATGTATGTATCAACTAGGTTAGGTAACCACATAGTTGTACCCTTATACATTTTATCACTGATACCATCTTCTAATTCATACATGTACCTATGACATATGTAGGTAGCCCTAGCTTTGAGAAGGTTGCTACTTCCTTTTTCTAAGAAATTTGATTAATCTCGCTAAAAGGTCGTGATTACTTAACATATAAGTGCATTAATCCTCCGATTTGAACGGCGTTCTATACCAAGTAATTATACCCAAGATGTGATAGTCGAGTTTAATTACAACCAAGAGAATCCCGTGTTTGCTCATTCTAGATTGGTTATATTTAATAACAAGCCTCACGTCTATGCATCTATATGTCAGATTGACCACTTGACCACTTGACCAAAAGGTATCTTGTCATGCCATAAGTGCCATTACTTAATATATATGCGACACTATATCGCTTCTCGATATGACGGTGATCCCGGAGAAACCACCTACGTTACAATGTAGCAATGCATGAAAGGGGCGATGCAAAATGGGGGCCGAATGGAAATGGACAAATTAGACAATAGAGCATTGAGAACCTCGAGAAGCTCGAGAAGCTTGAGAACCTCGAGAACCTCGAGAACAAGTAGGTCAATAAACATCCCCCCTCGCTAATTCACATATGAATCTGTTATGTATCAGAAGTACAATTTAGCTTGTTGAATAACCCCAAGCTATGGCGGATCCTTTCACGGCTCTTGGAACGGCAAGTAGCATTATCACCTTTGTAGAGTTCACATGGAAGCTACTTACCAACACGCATACGATATATAAATCCGCGACCGGCGAAACTGAGGATAGCACAACTCTCTCGATCATCGCAAAAGATGTTGCTAGTCTTGGAGCTGCTATCATCGCGTCGCCTGGATGTGAATATGAACTGCAAATCCTTGTTAAGGAGGCGCAGAGTATCGCTCATGATTTACTCGAGGCGCTGAACAAACTGAAAGGTCAAGGAGCCAAGACGGTATGGAAAAGCTTCGTGGTTGCATTGAAGGAAGTGTGGCAAGGCAGCCAAGTTGAAGCCTTCTCTCAAAGGCTTACAAAGTTTCAAACTCAAATCGCTTTACATATCCAGATGTCGATCTTGTGAGATTACCAATGGTATTAAGGCAGAACATGATACTAAACAAAGCTTAGGAGCCACGTCTCGGAAATCTCTCGCACGACTACCCAATCCAAACACATCGATCAAACCTTAGGAACTACAATGCAGACAGAGTTCCGCGAGCTACGCGAAGACGTTGTTGCCGCTGTAGCCGCTGTAGCGAAATTAGTGCCCCGAGACTCAGTCTTTGAGCCCGCAGGGAAGCATCTCAAAAGCCAGAATGATATTAATATAGAAGACGAAGGACTTATTCGTGAGGTACTGGCAAACCTACGTATCCTGTCCGAGAAAATCTTGCATCTCCACGAAACTGGCAAGAGGACCCATGACGATGAGCGTGTACTAAGGAGCCTTTACTTCGCCGGCATAATGGCGAGGCAAAAGAAGATAGCTGAAGCACATGCGCGGACATTTGCATGGGTCTTTCAAAAACGGCCCCCCGAGTTCGTCAACTGGTTGGAAGATTCAAGCGGCATATTCTGGATCCGGGGGAAACCAGGCTCGGGAAAGTCTACTCTAATGAAATTCATTTCTAGTCACGATAGCACCCGCCTTCATCTACAACCATGGGCACGGGGCCAGGAGCTCGCGGCTGCTAGTTTCTTCTTCTGGAACTCGGGTTCGCCGCTCCAGAAATCTCAAGAGGGTCTTTTCCGTTCGCTCTTGTTTGGAATATTGCGAAAATACCCCCATCTCGTTCCCAGGGTATCCGCACTACGGATCGAGTTAAGGGATGACTGGGATAACGATTGGTCTTGGACGGTTGACGAATTATTGTTCGTGTGCCGCAAAATCATCGAGGAATGCATACATACTAAATTTTGTTTCTTCGTCGACGGAATGGATGAATACGAGGCAGAGAAGGAAGACCTGAGTGACCTCGTGAAAAATATACGGAGTCTTGCTTCCCTTCCAAACATCAAGTTGTGCGTTTCGAGTCGACCCTGGTCCGTGTTTGAGGATGCTTTCGGTCAGAATCCCGAGTTATCGCTCAAGGTTGAAGACCTTACTCGCGACGATATCCGACAATACGTCTCTGACAAGTTCGAAGAGAATCGACAATTTTCTCTGCTCAGAGCTGCGGAACCAACTACGCAGGAGTTGGTGGAAGAAATATGTCAGCGAGCTAAGGGTGTATTTCTCTGGGTTTATCTCGTAGTTCGTGATCTCCTTGGCGGATTCACTAACGGCGATTCCTTGAGGCTTCTCCGAGATCGACTAGATAGATTTCCAGAAGACTTGGATGGCTTTTTTCGGCATATGATCGATACTATACCCTCAATGTATCTTCCATTCGCAGCCCGGATATTCGAAGTTGTCAGACTGGCACCGGAGCCCCAAATAGCAATCACCTTTTCCTTCATTGATGATGTTGAGAACAGGCCTGAGCTCGCGATCGAAATGGAAATGCCCATCATACCTATGTCCGAGCCTGAGATTGATTTTCGGCAAGCCCTAGTAAGACGGCAACTGGATACACGGAGTAAGGGGCTGTTAGAGATTACCCACGAGGACGATTTTTCGCCTGAGCCCGACTTGCCCAGCAATCTCTTCAATGCCCGTGTTGACTTCCTTCATCGTACCGTTCGTGAATTTCTTGTCCGTTCAGATGGCCTAGGCCCATTCATCACCCAGCATATTGGCAATTCAAACACTGCTTTAGTGATGTGTAGTGCTATTCTAACGACACTCAAGAAATTGCCGCCTACGTCCATGAAGAATATAGATATTCTTACACAACTATTGAGTTGGGCTACGCTTGCGGAACAGAACACTGAAGTAAAGGCGGCACTCTACCCAATCCTTGAATCTACAGAATCATTCTATAACTCTATATCATCACCGTCTCGATCCGATGACTCGACACCAGGCGTCGATTTCCTTGGATATGTATGTCTTGGATATGCATGTGAATTGCCTGTCATGTCATACATCGAGGAGAAACTTAGAGACGACCGCACACGTGCTGAAATTAACAAGCGATCCGAACCGCTACTATGCTATGCTCTAAACCACCATTGTCAAAATGTTCATCCAGGTCTCGTCAAAACCCTTCTAGAGAACGGAGCCGATCCCAACCAGGAGATTTACCAATCTTTGACTATTTGGGGACGGTTCGTCCGTCACCTAAAAAAGGATGGCTCTGGGCGTGACAATGAAACCAGAATTAATAAAATCAGAATCACCATTGAAATTTTGATTGATTACGGGGCCGACCTTGAAACTGGAATAGACGAGGGTCATAACACTGCTATGGGGTATGGTCAAGCGGGAAAGAATCGAGCACTTGCTTCGGATGTGATCAAAACTTGGTTCACAGAAGACGAATATAATGCATTATACGAGAAATACGAAGCTGCCAAGCCTGCCAAGCCTATCAAGCCTATCAAGCCTATCGAGGCTATCAAGGTTGAGGACCGCAAGCCGAAATCTTCCATTCGCCGTCGACTGCGGAATATAGGGACGGAAATACGTCGCAGGATCCTTTTCTATGCCCAATCTTAGAGTCTGATACTTTACTAACTTTTAAGGGGAGTACTTTGTGCAATGGAGGATATAATGGTTTCTTTGAGTAATAGCTAGGTGCTGATCCTACTTTACACAAATGTTGACGATAAATCGATGCACGCTTTATTAGGTTATGCATTTTTAAACCTGTCTGGGATCGTGGCTCACGAGGAGTTGATGACTATTTTGACTCATGCATCATCTAATAGTTAATAGAAGGGAGGGATGCCTTCCTTATAACGTAACCTCATTGCCTCTTAGCAAAAGTCAATCAACTATCACATAGATAGCCTTACATGATACAGCCGGATTAATACTTACATGTAGTTGATCTAGCAACGATAGGCGACTCTAATATACTATGTATTTTTGGTTTTCTGCTTCTATCTGCTCTTCTATTCTAACTAACTATGGCTTACCATTGTCTCCTTCAGGGGGTAGTCGTCCACCCCAGGACCTAGGTAAGAGCATAGAAAATCAGACTCGATCTAAAGTTCAGACAAGTACACCGACTTCTAATTACACCTGTTGGGATTCTAAACAAAACATCTGGAACAAAAGGATACTCTAAATATATATAGCCATGAGCTACCGTAGTCGGGGTCAGGTTATCTTGCGGGACAGCAAAGTTATTTCCATCCGTCTCGCGACAATACTGCTCTATGGACATAATTTGATGACGGATGCTAGAACCAGCTCACCACAGTTTTCTATACCCTTTCTGATCATTTGTGTCTAAAGGGCCATAAGTACGCATCTGAAGGAACGCATCTGAAGGAACGCATCTGAAGGAACGCATCATCGTCCGGTTCGGTCCCGGCGTTGCGTATATAGTCGACGTAGTCGGCATGGACTTATCAAATGCACTTTTATATGGAATCGCTGGTATAAGCAAGGCGTTAGGGAGATGGGAAAACCTAATTAGATTGGCGTACAGGCAATTTGGTAAAGCTTGTTAGTTATCTCAGCATCAATTGGGCAAATATTCGTTCGTACGAGCAATAATATAATAACTAGGGAAACGAGGTATAGGGGCTCGAAATACGGGAGTTACTTTTCGGATCGAAGGAGGTCCTTAAACGGTAGCCATACGTCCTCTAGACAACTTAGTATTCACAGTTAGGCTTATACATATTATCACGTATATAATTTTATTTTCGGTATCGTAAGTGGTATGTTCTTCTATAGCCGTCCAAAAAGTACCAATTCCTTAATTTTCTGACTGATAGGTGTAGTTACCTAATGTATGTATTTCTCCTGCTAGAATCCAACCCTCAGGGACCGTCTTTCTTACACTACGCCACCCTCTTCCACTCAACATAGCGTTCGACACCGGTAGAAGACGACGCAAGAGCATCATTGAATTCCTCCTGGGCCCCAGGCTGTCCCAGACGTAGCTTCAAGGCCGTAGGCCACGCGTCGCCAATCGTATTCTGCTCTTTCATCGCGACGTGCAAGTCTCTCTCGATGTCTTCGAAATGATTCGCAGCCATGTACCTAGGTGGGTAATCAACAGTTAGCCAGATAGTTCTTTAGGTGGTTATTTTCTCAAGAACAACGACATACTCGCGGAAGAAATTGTCCGCGTCAAGCGTGAAGCTCCGCGCGTCCCAGATCCGGTACAGCTCGGCTCCCTGCGGGTTTCTCAAGAAGCTGATGTCCTGGAAATTGGTCAGATATTTTCGGATCCGCGTGATATCGAGTGCCTCTTTCTCCCGGTCGCTGCCCCGGGCGGTCTCCATCACTGCGTTTATATACACGGTAATAAGCGTAGCGTGTGGATTCTTCGCTGGCGACTTAAGAAGAGGCGATAGGCAGCGCAGGGTCTCGCGGGTGCCTAGCCAGCATGTATCTGAGATGTTGGAGGCCTGCCTGGTTAGTCTCGTAGATGCTGATTTATGTGAAGCGGCATAGGGGATGGGACGAGCTCACCTCGATCCTGTCGTATAAGCCCTCATCCAACATCAAGCATTGAGTCAGCTCTGTCGCGTTGAGGTTGAAGAGCTCAAAGTGTATTTTCCCAGTCGCAATACGGCGGAGAAAGGCGCTGAAGACGCCGCGGAGATAGGAGAATAGCTTTCCGTATATGTCTTCGGGAATACGACTTGGTGTTGCTCTGACCTCGCCGAGCGGCCAGCCACAGAGGGGGTCTGCTTTATCGTCTAGAGGCCAAGAGGAAACTTTTTGGAATACTTTCTGGAATAGGGTCCTAGGACGTATTAGACTCGAGATTCTAGAGTTTGATGCGGTTTTGTAGGTAATAACTCACGGATTAGGATAGTCAAACCCGATGCGCGGATGGCCAAAAGCCAGGAGTAAGCCATCCTCTCGATACCGCTGTTTAGCGACGCGCATAGAGGGCGATGCGTCTTTGAAGTACCACCGATCTCGATAGTCTTCCCGTTCGGGTGCTAAAGTAATGGCCTGGCGGATCTTGCGAGCTTTCTCCAGGGTTAGATCTTCGGGTACGTCGAAAAATTCCATTACCCGAGCCCAATCTTCCTTCTTTAAACTCAGAAGGAGACTACTGCCTGACTTGAAGGTCCATGTTTTTCCTAGTGAGATACCCGACTCCCCATCGACGGCTCGCTGGCACACATCGCTTATAAGCGGTTTGACTCTCGACTGCAGCTCAGATAATGTGTCTTTTGTGATCGTAGCCGAGTACCAAACGTGGATAAGGGTTTCTGCTAATCTTTCATAGTCGGTCTGATCGGGATCCTCCTCTAATGAGCTCAATGCTAGAAGCAATATCACAGCGTTCCTTGCCGTGACATTAAAATCCCTGTCATTGATTGTCATCTTGACCTGGTGCTCAAAATCAGGGGGCAGGTTCCGAATCGTCTGTACAACGTTCCTCACGTCTCCGGATGCTGCTACACATTAATGTCCTATTCGGAACCAAATGAGACTACCAGTCAACACGTACCCGCGAACAGGATTTCTACATCCTTATCGTAGGCCGACCCCTCATTCCGCGGTAACTGGAGCACATCCATCGCCGGCGTATTACCCCAGGAGTATTTAGTCGGCCCAAAGGTATTATACAAGTTAGTAGCAGCCTCTCCGCGAGACCAGGCAGGATCTCGTCGTAGTCGGTCCCAAGCTGGAAGCCAGGTGGTTTTGCTTAGTGGGGATTTGCACTTCTTCTTGTGCTCACTCCAGTGCTTTACCTGACAATAACGACTGCAGTACTAGAGCACCATTAGTATCTGTCTGCAGCGTCTACGAAACTGTTTTCACTTACCAAGACTAGCTTACAGCCCCCACAAACAAGCGTGCCCTGGCGAAAACAGACGCCGCCCCCATCCTTCCAGTTGGCACATGGCGTTGGCGCCACTGCGGTAGTTGTCATTATATCTTATGTCCTCGCGACTAGAAGATTCCTGCTTGTGTGATCTCGTTTCCTCAAGCAATGTGGTGTGACGTGGGATTCCGTGGGTGCAGAATCCACGCCCTATTTGTAAATGTAGGCATGGCGATTAATTCTTCAACACGATGTGCTGTGCCGTAGTAGTTTCTGTACGACGTCGGATACTTGCATAAACAGCTCAACAATTCCTCGGTACAACTCGTGGGTAGATAGCTACTACAAACAGAGCTTTTATGATAACTGACGGATCGATTATTGACTGGTCAGACGGGAACGTTGTAGTTTGCTGTCAGCCTCTTTCGTAATGATTATGGACTCCTGCCGCATGTGAACGGGCGCTTCTGTGCCGTGGCCGTTTCTTCCGATAGGCGAAGGGCGCGTATATCTTACTGTAACACTCAACGATACCCGGATAATGGCGTTTGTTGCTTTTGACCAATCAGATGTCTTAATATGAGTTGGGCCAAGAAAAAATTAGTAAACCCGATACCGCATAGTACAGGCTATAGCTTGTCCTAGGACAACCCCCTGAAACTTACCTACACACTAGAACAGCGTCTGTACTGAAAGTATGAATATCATTCACATGAAATAAGAACACACATATAGAAATATTTAGACTTTATCTGAATTTAGCCACGGGTATGGTATACTATGAAGAAACTTATCTGTTCGAAGCTTCTATTGGCGACGTCCCAAAATTGTCACCACAAAACGGAGCTCAAAATAGGGCTTCTAGAACGACCCCTGGATGCTAAACCTAAGTACGGCAAGTATTTCCCTAATCTTGCTTGGATGACTGGTTTATAATGGCTTGCCTCTTTACGAGACTGAATTGATTGAATAGCCGTATGCCATTTCATGTACTAGTGAATATCGCGTCCATTGGCAGTGGAACGCAAGATCGGCCTTTTAAAGAGCAGGTCTAGCCTTAGTTAGATATAGCTCATACGAGTCAATCAGGTATGGCAGAGAAAAACTTACATAATCCCAGGTTCTTTTCAGTACGAAATATGCGTATGTTGAAGAGTGAAAATGTAGGATGGTATATACTGGGGCACCGTATACTCGCATCAAGACAAATTATTGTCAGCTGCCAAGATGTATCTATTTAGTTGACCCGTAGAGAAACTCATTAGACGTCGGCCTTTTCGGTGCGTAAAAGCTCCCCGATAGCTCTGGCATTATCACGAGCGAGCTGCCGTCGAAGATCGGCGTCTATGTCGGCGGATTCTCGTCTGAAATTCCAGAGTCGAACCAGCTCACAGTACTCCTTAAGGGCGTCTCTATCGCTTCCAGGGGTATCTCGAGTCTGGCGGAGCACCTCTATGCCATTCTCGTAGCCCGTTTCCTTTGTCCAGGGTTGAGTCGCCTTACGGTTGCCCTTATTAGAACTAGGAAATGTGCTAGGCTTCCCGTTGCTATCGCCGCCGGTAGCTGGAGGGTCTGTGGCTGCGGCAATATTCCAAAGCAGACGTTCCAGGTTAGGGTACTTCTTGGTCAAGTCTCTGTACTCTGGCATGTCGGCGATTTCCGAGCTCTTGGGGGTGGATTGATGCGTCGTAGTTTCACCGGTAATTGTGTAGTTAGGTTGAGACTTAACGTCGTCTCCTGGTACTGCAGATGAGGTATTTTTTGATTGTAGTGCAGGGGACTCCACAGGCGGATGATTGTCCCGATGCTCACGGAAACACGAGAGCGAGCACCTATGTAATGAAAGTCAGTATAGCTTACCAACGTCGAATATGAAGCTGTGCTTACGTGTATAGGTTGCAGCGGGCGCATTTGTATTTGCTTTCAGTGCTATCGCAAACCAAGCATGGTGGTCTAGCGTTTGCCATGGTTGGGATGAATACCCGAGATTTAGGCAGGACTGCGACTCGATGCAGATGTCTAAATAACAGGTATTAAGAAACTATTGAGTCCGTACTAGTTATTATCTTATTACCGAATATTAGATGAAGGCGAAGAATCCGCGCTTCAGTTGATATGTGATAAAACTGTAGCATAGTTAATACCTATAAATATTCCACTGATGCAAATGTATTACTCACCAATGTAGATGATAGATTATTCTCCTGAGGAGGCGTGTTGTATGCCAAAGCTTGATTAATATTAGTTAATATAGATTCCTTGGTATGTGTGTGAGTTTTTGAATAATTCTTTATGAGATGTTAGACATAAACATACCTTTTTCGAAAGGCAACACGTCACGGGAGGTTTTGATACCGCCCGCAATTGCACCGTGCTACCTGTTGCTTATCACAACCGAGGCGGACAGTTGTATTCTGCCGTTGTTAAGTCGCGAATATCTTTGGGAGCAACGAGCGAGTTTCTAGTTGCGCCTAGATTTCTGGGATTTAGGCTGCCTTTAAGATGCCGAATGATTGGCCCAGATAATTCCAATTGTTGTAGTTGAAGGCAACCTACGACGACCAAGGGCCTAACCTAGTGATGTCGACTCCTTTTCTTCAGGAACACTTAATGCCTTTGATTATCACTGAACGGCAAAAGCATTGGTCACTTCCCTCTTCACAAGCGGACAAGTTTCAGGCTGTGACCTCTATGCAATTAGGCTTAAGAGGTCGTCGTGCTGGCATGGCTGACTGATTAACGCGGTATAGGGGTTGCCTTGTCACTCAAATCAGTATCAGTGAATCAAATCGCAGAGCTTTAACGCGGCTGAAAATAATATAAGTTATGAGGCTGAAAGTTCAAGGCGGGTAGTCAAAGTGTGGCTTAGGATCTACAAAAATGTCCAATAGGTAAAAATAGGTAAGGATGAAATTAGGAAAGGACGGTTACTCGATAGCCCGGTATATCTCCGGCGGATATTCCCGTAAACCAATCAAACCCTATGCAACAGTCGGTTTATCATCCGTACTATGTATTGTAATAACCCACCTAAAAGCTCGAACAATGCGCTAGTTGCGTCATTGCCACTGATTGATAATCTACGGCTACTCTTATCGGCGTAATTCGGCAAACGTCTACCTACAATAATCGCGCCTCCGATTTCACCTAAGATTCAGTTTTCGTCTTATACCAAAATATACCAGACAAAAATATTCCCAGCCGCAAGTAATTATCGTTACGTGTTTTGAAGTTAATTGACCACAAAGGCGATCAGAATATCCACGAGGGCGACTATGCCTTCAAGTCGACTCGTCCGGCCGGCAGCGGCTCTGCTGTCCGCAGGGACAAGAAAAGTCCGGCCCGCTACTTGCGGCCGGCTCTACGAAGCTGCGCGGCATGCGCATACAAGTTCACAGGCGTTGGGTATATCAGCGAGGTCGAGGCCGGTACTACAAACAGCCTCGAGGTCACCAGCGATAGCGCCGCGGGGCGTGCGAAGTATTTTCATCCAGACCGAGACCACGCCGAACCCGGATGCGCTCAAGTTTTTACCGAATCACAGGGTGGTGCCCGCGGAAGTTGCCACGCCTTTCATCGAGTACCTAAATGCGCGGAGTACGATCGCACCGCCATACCCGTCGCCGCTTGCCGCGCAGTTAATGAATATCGACGGGGTGACGTCCGTGTTCTACGGGCCCGACTTCATCACGGTGACGAAGTCGCCCGATGCCAATTGGGTACATATCCGGCCGGATATTTTCAGCTTAATCACTGAGGCTATAACGTCGGGACAAGAAATTGTCACTGTGAGCAACAAAGAGGGTGGGGATGAGGGTCAGGAGGTGGGAGAGGAGGACAGTTTGAGCTATAATGAAAACGATAGTGAAGTCGTGGGTATGATCAAAGAACTACTCGAGACTCGAATAAGACCCTCTATCCAGGAAGATGGCGGAGATATTGAATTCCGTGGGTTTGAGAATGGGTATGTGAACTTGAAGCTCAGGGGAGCGTGCAGGACTTGCGATTCGAGTACTGTCACTTTGAAGAATGGTATTGAGGGAATGTTAATGCATTATGTGAGTACAGCCCTTCCCCAAAACATCTTGCGATTTTGGCGTAGCCCAGTCACTTTGCTATTTTTCTTCTTTTTTTTCTAGCATGAGGCATGAGATATTCAACTCGAGCAAGTTGTCGGAGTTGCTGAATAATCCAAAGCCCAATGATCTACGATCCCCCCTTTTCAACTTTAGAATAATTCCAGATGTATGATGCAAATGGGGTGCTAACAAGATCCCAGATTGAGGAGGTCAAAGGTGTACATCAAGTAATGGACCAAGAGGAAGAGATCGCGATCCAGGAATTTGCAAAGTTCGAAGAGAAGCTTCGAGCACAAAAGGGGCCAGATGCAGCACCGACTACACCTGGCAAGGACTCGTTGGATTCGGTACCTGGATAAAGCCAGAGAGACATGCTTCATCCGATGTATGATTAGAGCGTCGTCCCAAGTACGTCATCTAGAAGAAATGAGAATACCCTGGTGTTGGTTTTTTTTGGGATGCAACTTGGGTTACCAACCTAGCTAGGTTTTGTGACAATCTCGTATCTTCAGCAGAGTTTACATCTGCCCGTGAGGCTGGGCACCGCCGGCACTAACATCGGTGTTTCTGCGCGAGGGCCAATGTGGTCACCGGCCTGGCGACCTTTGTTCGCCATCTTTGCGTCGCAAATTAGGGTTTAGCTTTTCTTTAGGAACCCTACCCGGCTGGGCAGTATCGACTTTCACGATTAGGTAGGGCGCGGCATTTTCTGGTGCATACACGGGCCAAGACAGGCTCTAGGATCGACCTCTGCGTTGCTCTGCCTTTCGAGCCGCATCCCCGTCGTCCAAGTCCCGGCGCTAGTAGTTAGGGCAGTCTCGTCGGTCGCTTGTAGGTTTTCTCCCATGAGGCAAAAGGGGGTGACACTACCACTACCGGAAAGCGACGGACGCATACATATTAGACCGTGGCGGGGCAGCGATTCGCACCGGTGTGGCAATGGGGGGCGAGGTATGGCTGGGGTCGCGTGGGTATTGTGCAGCTCCAAGTGCGGCCGCGCAGGAAATCTCCCCACGAGCCATGGTCACGTAGTAAGGTATGTATGCACGATAGGGGCCGGTCATCTTGTTAGTTAGCTTGGTAGACTATGGGTTGCAGTACGTCTTACCCCGCAAAAGCTCTACCAGAAGGTACGTCAAGATGCATGGAATACCGTGGGTCATCCCTAAGAACGTACGCGTCTGGTCTAGTAGGGTATCTAGTAGGGTATCCTATCTCGAGCGTCGTTGCTACCTACATTACCTAATGTGTTACTTTGGGGTCTAACAGTCTAGAGTTAGCGAGAGTATCGGGGATCTAGATCATCTTAGATTCTTTTCGTTTAAATTATCCACTATATGCACATGTCATGTTTACACTTCACTTACGACACCCAGGTTTCATGCGCCGAGATACGCACTTGGTAACGAGGATACCCTCTTGAAGATAGTAGCATTCGAGAGCATCGGACGATGCTTTTTGTCTTCATGAAATGGTATACCTTCTGGAGTCACGGGGTCATATGTGAGACAAAAAGGGTATGTAGTGTCCAAGATGCCCGGGTATATGTGTTACGCATAAATGCTAAGTCCAGATGTTGTGTGAGGTCGGCAAGGCAATTCTCTCCGCGTAAAGCAAGATGCCATTTCCTCTCTTCTGCAGTCCAGCTGGTTAGCGAATTCGACGTAATGGCTAATAGAATCATCGTCAATGGGATTGTGTAATCATCTCAGGGTGGTATCGTTTTGCTGAGTAGGGAATGATGATAGGTTACAACAAGTTGAAGTTATTCCATTAGAGGAAAAACAGCTTTTCGCTAGTTTAAGCCCAGCGCCTAGGCTTTCTGAGTTGAGCGTAGCAATCGGCCGAAAATATGCGTTAAGATGATCACTAGCCATCGATCGAACCAGAAAAGACTCTTTAGGTTATGTTATGGATCCTAGCAAATAAATGTAAGTTTATACCAATTAATTGTCATAATTTGCTGCTGCTTTTCCGGTAAGCTTAGTGAATGATGCGGATTTTAGACTCGTGCAGGCTCTTGCAGGCTCTTAGTTTTCGACTTGCTCTTCTTATAACTATATGGAATCTATGGATAAGGGTTAGTAAACATGAACTGAAAATCCGGGGTAAAGCCCCTGGGGGGTATATGTGCGACGCCTTTAGGTACGGGTTTTTGCGAAGCTTGTGCTATCTCCAAGGTTCGTGTGAACTAATCGTGTGACGACATCGTATATAGGTCGCTAAGGCCAAATGGTGGTATGTGTTGAACCTGATGCTGAGATCGAGTATCTAACAGGACTTTTAGAGGCTTGAGTAACTATTGTCTTGAGTATTGTATCGAATAGTCTTCTGATTTAGGCTGAGGCTTGCAGGAAGAAATTATCAAGAAATATAAAGGGTCACGACCCCTCCACCATCCCCTGGTTCAGGTCGCTTAAAGCATGCAGGAAACTGTGATATCTGCTATGCGTAAGAGGTTGGAAATACAGACAGTTGAAAATTCAAGTTTCCTTGTGTCCAAGCTATGCAGAAGGGGTAATAAACTTGGTCTGTAATTAGGGTTGAAGTATGTAATGCGACTCGTAATGCGGCTTTGAATTTATTTGCTCCATGTTGACGTTCTTTTGGAGCACACGACACCATCGCACTATGTATGTAGTCTATCGAAGTTTCTGTAAGTCGGATCGCCGAAAGAGGGTGCGGGAATCGTTCGTTGCAATGGTCCGTTACCCCTCCCCTGTCATCTCACGATCGGCTATGTAGCTTCAGGAGAGTTTCTATGCACTCACTCACACCTCCACAATGCTTCCATTATCTTACCCAACTATCTTGTACCTGAGGTACCCAATGCTGGTTCTGTTGCTATAGGTATTCATACGAAGACCTTGAACGATGAGAAGACCGTATTTTACTCGCCTCCGAATCCAATGGGGTCTCAGCGAGCTTTCTGATCGTCGAAGAGTTTAAGCCAGGTAGTATTAACCCCGGAGTCTAATGCTATGTAAGGTAACAACAGTTTTGACGTGCAGTGCATGCATCAATTGGATATGCAGGAGGGCTGGCGCAACTTTCGTCGGGCCATTCCCCAGATACGTGTGGTGAATGCGGTGGAAAATGGAAGCTGGCCAAGTCCGGTTAAGACGGCTGCGTCCATCTAACTTGGAATAAAGGACTGACTCGCAAGCTTGAAGCTTTCGCGTCCATGCATGGCCTTTGGTACATGTACTCGGTCAGGAGAAGGGATTGGGTGTTGCACTTGAACGAGAAGGCCCTATTCGCCGCACCGGGCGAGTTTTTGTTCGAGATCTTCAACGGTGGGCTAAGTATTGAAGAAATGACGTCCCAATCCTTGATTCTTGATTGGTGTGGCTTATGCACACCTCTACGGAACAAGACCTTCGGTGTGTATATAGCCTATCGATAGTTTTGAAAGAGATACTAAAAGAGATACCATGTAGAGAAATTCTAACTAATCCGAGTTGACGTACGTACCGTCTCAATTCCTCGTACCAAGACTGTCCTTGTCATCCGAAGTGGCCGCCCAAAAAAAGAAGGCATGTTTCGAAAGGCGGAAGCCAAATGTCCTTTGGAGAGCAGCATTTATGCATGCCCTCTACGCGGCGGCTAAGCGCCATCGAATGACAACTCGTCTTGCTCTGAATAAGTATATATATCAGTTCGCAGTAGAAAGAGCTCGACGGAAATATGGATGTGCATCTCACTAGATTTGATATTGGAGAAGATTTCTCTGAAGGACTACGAACATATCAGACTTGACATGTTATTGGTTGTCTTCTCGACTCCCCGGAATAGCAAGGATCGTTAGCAAACCAGAGCTTGGGTCATTGCAGGACTCGGGCCAATAGAAGTCTCTTACTTAACCTCTCTCTCGCACGTTCGCAGGTTCGATAGCTCAAGATCAATCTTCCCCACACTCTTCGTATGTCCCAAGTTAGAAGTTAGAACCAAGATAATTGAATCATAGGCATCGTCGACCGGATAAGCTTCTCATATGGGCTAATTTATGATTGCGTTATACATTATACATTATGCATTATACATAATAAAAGCCCATAGTTAATGGGAAAATGACAACTCTTGGAAGAATACTGTGTATAAGATACGGTGTATAAGCGGCTCGGGTGATCATCCTTTGTGCACTAAATTAATAGAATCCATCTGTAGGACCCGCCCGTCCCCAGACACCAAATTCCTACGCCCGCCTTTACTAGATTTGGAAAGGTCAAGTGGGTCCTTTGCTTTGTTATTTTAGTGTCTTGGCAACCTCTGGATTCTCCTTACGAGTAATATTGAACCTGCCTCTACTGCTCCAGCAGCCCAGGTACAATCTCACAAATTGGCAGTTACCTAACCTTAGGGGCCTAGGTACATGTAAGTACCTGCTTACATAGAAATATTGATTTTCTAAAGGCGCATAACCTAACCTTAGGTACCTAAGGTAGTAAAATACCTACAACGAATTCTTTTTTCGAGACCCTTTTTATTTTATTTTTTACACATGAACTCATATACGGGACAAGCTTATAGACAAGCAAGCTTGCATTGCCAACCTCCATACCTACATAGGCCATCCATCCCATCCCTATCCGCTCATCCATTCTCGAAAAATCCACTCCATTACTGCACATACACCTCCTTCGTGCTAAGTTACTACCTTACCAACTACCTACCTGCATACATACTTACATGTATCTGCCTGCGTACAGCATCATCAGTTCATGATCGATGTAGCCACATTTTTCCTACCTGATCATACCTGACCACGTCTGTCCCCTTCTCACTAGGTTAGGTATCTACACCTATTGGGTCGGTAAATTCCCCTCGCACTTAACTGACACATATCTTTTGTCTTTTGTTTCCGGTTTAATTCTCCCCTCTCATCTCGTTTGACGATTTCAGGTTTATATCCTCTTTCGGCCTATCCTTGAATAGCGCTGAGTTAGGCATAGGCACTACGAGGTGTGCCCTTTTATGATTTGCAGGGAGCTCAGTTATTGCTAAGACACACCCAAAGCCCCCAAAGCCTCTAAAGACTGGTGTCTCTCCCGGGATTTAGTGGGGGGATTACCGCTACCGTATGTACATACAATAGGTACATATGTATCATCCCTGCCCACTGTTACCAGCCTAACTTTAAAACCCAGCTTCCGTTCCCCACTAGCCACTTTCCTTCATACTTTCCCTCACGCGAGGGTCTCGTGTCGCAACGTTCAACTGCTGGCACGGGTCCTGGATTTGTACTGCTAAACCAATCAGTTACTCCTACGAATTACTTGCCTAGGTACCATACCTAAAGACCTACCTAAACTACTTCCCTTCCCCGCTCTTCAATTTCAATACCCTCCAACACCCTCCTACGCCCTCGTCCGTCCATCTGCAATTGCCGGTCTTCGACAATTACGGCGACAAATCTACATCTCTACGGACTATTTGCGTGTCTTTGCTCAGCAACGGCCTTTGTGCAAACTACTCGTCACCACAGATTTTCCCGAGCCAACGATGCGCTCTTCCGAATAGCTTCGTCGCAAAGCATTCGAGGTCGTACTCATACACCTACGAACTGACAAATTCACACGTACGAAATCTTGTTTTAGATTGC